AAGGTTAAATGACCTGCATGGCAGGAATTGTGTAAGAATCCCTGCACAATCATTAATGGCCTTTCTGCGTAGATGGGTTGTGTGAAGGGAAGTCCACCTGGCAGAGTCACTGCCCCAGCTCTCTTCTCTGTTGCCCTGTCATTGATGATAGTCCAGAATAACTGAGGCGTGTGGTGGAAAATAGACTCTCTGAATGACTCCAGTGCTCTGAACCTCTCATGTGTTTATGCTGCTCTGTCCTAACTGTCTGGGGCAGCAACAATAAAACGTGGCTGCAGATCATTCACAAAAACATCATCAAGAGGCAGCCCTCTCTTCCCTGTCCTCACCTCCTTACTGCCCTTTTCTCTTCACCTCCTTTTCCTCTCTCTTCTTTGTCCTCACCTCCTCCCTCCCTCCTGCTTTGTTCTCAGTGCTGGGACTGAAGACCAGCTGGAGGTCTGACTTGCTGATGGGTGAGCTGCTCCAGCCCTTCTCCCACCCTGCTGGGGCTTTCTGTGTATCTCAGGACCACCTTTCTTATTCCCACTGGTCACAAAGAAATGTCACCACTTGCTTGCCCCATGCACACTCCTGGTTTTCTGCTTTTAATTTGTTGAAGTACCTGGGGAGGTTCTTGGTTCATGACTGGTGTTACTGTACAACCTCCTCATCACGTCCTACTGCCTACATGAGTCCTGTTCCACCCTACTACCACCCAAAACTGCTCCCTTGCTTATTCACTTCTCCACTCATCTCAGCAATTTTACAATTTTCTGAATCATTTGGGATAGATGGAGTTGTGTTGGAGGCTGAATGAAGGACTTACTCTGCCACACCAGCCAATGGAGGGTAAAATCTGCCTGGTGTTGGACAGCAGTTAATGTGAAATAGCTGTGGGGGGTAATTGTGCCTGTGGATCACCAGGCACATCTGTGTAGTGTTTGGTACAGAGGTGGAAGTACCTGCAGAGCTGTAAATGAACTGTGTGTGAGGTTCACTTCACCAACGTCCAACATCCCAATGACTCTGCACCAGGCATGCAGTTAGTCAAGTATTTGCAGTGGCCCAGGCTGATGGGGAATAGAGCTAAACAAAGTAGCTTGTGAATCTGGGAATTATCCCACCAGTGTGGTGGAAACCCACTGGAATCTCCCTTGGCATAATTCTTTGAGGTGCTTGTGTGTGATCTGCAGCCACGTGGTGTCAGAGGGCCATGCTTCAACCCAGGCACAGTTAACTTTTTCTAAGTGAAATATTTTGCTTGCTTTTGTCCTCCCTCAGGGCTTGGCAAGTCTCTCCATCCTTGCTCCCTAAATAATTGTTCTCATGAATGTGAAGTCCCAGCTGCAGCAGCATCTCAGGGTGATCAGGCACCTTGGAAGGCTCTAGTCTGTGTTTTACCACACAGCAGTGAGATTTTAAGGTTATAAGAGAGAAAGATTTTTATTCAGTACATCAAACCTCAAAAAATATCCATTAGGAATTCCTACGACTGGAATAAATACCCCATAAATATAATATGTGCAGTATGGTCTCACTATTTCCAAAGAGAAAGACAGAACCAGGGATGACCCAAAAAAGAATTCAGAGATCATTGCTTCCCAGCTAGGGAGGGAGATGCTGGCTGTGCCTGTAATGCCACAGGTAGCACAGGGGAAACAAGTGGGGATAATGACTAGTTTTTTCTAATACAAGAGCCAGGAAAGGTTAAAAGGATCAAAATGGAGACGTGGCCTTATATGCTGTGTGCATAGCACTGGAACTCTTGTCACAAATATTGTGGATGCTACAAGATTAGATTTATTCAAGCAGCAGCTAAACATGTTGGTGGAAGTATCCTGCAAAGACCACTAAATGCGACAACACTGTGGCTGCCTGGGGCTGTCTCTGCTGCCCATCCTGTATGGCCTAAGGAAGATTATCAGTGATTTTCCTTTTTAAGCTTTTTTTAAGCTTTGCCACTGTTGTGGCCAAGACAGCTTTGGCTTGACCACTCTTATAGTCTGAAATGGCCTCATTTCATGATGGTTTCTTCTCAACAGGGAACTGCCTCTCTCTGTAGCCTTTGCCACATCTCTGTGCTGACAAATGGACTGTAGTAAGATGATTCCATCGTTCAGTTTTAAAACACTTTTTGCTTCTTCGGGATAAAAGGCAAAGTACTTGCAGGAAACAGGGCTTAAAGGATAATGACATTAGAAAGATGCTTCTGGTAGGGGTGATCAACTTGGTATTTTCCTGACAGGTACAGCTCAGCTGAGAGCCCTGCCCTAGAAGTGCCCAACATGCCCAAGCCTCAGTCATGTCAGGATCTTTTTAACCTGTTTAAAAGGGACAAAACTGTTTCTATGGGATGAGGATCCCATGCAATCTTTGGCTGATGAGCACTGTAATCCTCCTTGTATCACATCACACAGCACTGCATCTTCCCATCCACCTTTCTTGGTGGGTTGGGTATCTTCTTATCTGGGGTGTTTCCTACGGGGAGGTTTCTGGGCTCTGATTTCAGTTCTCCCTTTCTGCCTCTCTTGCTGTGGCAAGGCTTGCTCCAAAATCATTCCCTGTAGGGTTTATGATGCAAGACTTTGCCGGATGGATAATTTTGCTTGCTACCAAATGGTGTGTTTGATGGTTGCAGGGGTGACAGCTCCCTGCAGCCTGTGTTTGTTCTTCATCCATGTGCCTTTCAATTTGCACCAGCTCTTTGGCTGATGAAGTTTCAGTGCTCCCTGATCCAATGGTACACTTGCAGAGACCCACACTTATCAGAGACCCACAGCTCTCCTCTCCTGAGTAGAAATGTGCTACTATCTCGTAAAGGTATAAATTATAAAGTCTTGTCTGTATAATGAGTCTGCATTCCTCAGATAAATTACAGACTCATAATGGCTTTGGCTTTTAGTTACCATTAATCTTAACTGGAAGGGAGTGCTGGATTTCTTGAAGTGTGGGATTCAGATTTTTGAAAGGTTTTACTGGAGGCTTGGTCAAGCCATCCTCTGTTCCAACACCCCAGTGTGTGCACACTGCTGTCCACATTTGGCTCCCAGCTGGCTGGCAGGACGTGTCCTCAGGGATCAGCTGCTGTCCCAGGGCTGTGAGCATTTTGGGTCTCTGCTGGAGTGTTTTCCATGTCTGTCTTGTCAGCAGAGCACTTTGGGACAACTTGCTGTGCCCTAGATAACTGTGAAAAGACAGAGCCAGAGGCAATGGTTATTCAAGGCAAAGCATGGAAATAGCTCAGCTCCAGCACAGCCCCGTCGGTGGGAGGCATCCACTTCCTTGTGGGAGCGGGAGACAATGGATGGGACAGCCCATGGCTTCAGCCAGGCTGAGCAGGGAGTGGGCCCTGCCCTGAGCCCTGCACAGGTGACAGCGTGGCTGCTGAGCTGGGCTCACCTAGAAGGAATCTCCTCTTGGGAGAGGCACAGCCCCCACACCTGCAGAGAGTCCCCAACGCGTGAGGGACAGAACAAACTTGGCCTGGTTGCTCCTGTGCCAAGCATCACCTGCACGTGAGAGGCTTCACAAGGTGCTGGGAGCCCTCCTTTGCTCAGATGTTCCCAGCAGGTGCTGGGCTGGAGCTGGAGCAGGGAATGCAGCCCTTGGCTCTGGTGCAGCCTGAGGCAGCCTCGGAGCCCCTGCAGAGGTGGGATGGGCACAGGGGCTGCCCAAGGAATGGGGAGCAGCCCTGGCTCCCTCTGGGACAGGCCATGGCTTGCCCTGCTGCTCCTCCTGTGGCTCTGCCTGGCTCCTGCCTGGCTCTGGTTCAAGCTTTCTTCCTCGAGTCCTGTGTCAGGGAGGAGTTCAGTCTCAGTGGTGGAGTCACTAACCCCCCCACAAGGCTCATTCATGCTTTGGAAAACAGGATGGGAGAGAATATCTCCTCAGAAGCTTTAACTACAGCATAAAAGGTGCTGCAGAGTAAGCAGTAGCCACACTGCTGGAAGTGTAACTGTGATAGGGTTTGAGCAAGGTGGGTAGTCCAGGAAAGAGAACTATTTTTAATGAGGTTAAGTGTTCAGCTGTAAAAAATCCACACTTCTTAGTGCCCAGCACTTATTGAACTTATGTGAAGATGGGTCTGCATTCCCCAAAGTTGCTCACCTTCTGCAGTCTGTATCAGTGCTCTACCAACTGATTTTTTCCTTCCTAGAAGCCTTTGTTTTACCTTTGGAGACTCTGCTTTGGGCTGTAAGCTTATCAGAGTCTTTCAGAGACAGGAGTTACAGTGAAATTCTGCAGACTGCTTCAGGTTTTCTTCTCACTTACAGGACTGTAAAGCTTTTCTCTAGAAAGAAGTTTAGATTTGGAAAAGTGCCTGTATCCCAGGAAACTTGAGTCATGCTGGCTGCCTCCCCCAGCACGAGCTGGGGCTGGCTGGCTGCTGCTGCTGCACCTTGCTGGGGCTGTTGGGGTAAAGGAGAGAGGAAGGGGCTCTGGAAGGGCAGAGGAACACTCAGGAAAGGGCAGGGACAGATGGAGCTGTTCTTGCTTGTGCCAGTCTTGCTCCTGGCTCTGAAAACTCAACTGACAGAGGTGTGGAGCAGTGCAAAGTCCCCTGCAGCACCTCTGGGTCTGGCTCCAGTGTCCCAAGGTGCTCAGGCTTCAGCAGCACGCCACTGGGACTCTGTGGCTCTGCAGCTCCTCTTCTTCCTGACCTCCTGCTTGCCTGCTGGCACAGCATTCTGAGCATGAGGGAGGGCCAGGGACAGTGGGAAAGGGGCACTTCCCTACAGCTTGCCAAAAAAATGATCTTGTACTACATGCTGGCTGCTTAGAGGAAGATGAGTCTTCAACTCCTCACTCACTTGGCCCTTTTGCTGGGAAAGAAAGGGTCAAGTTGCAGCCCCTGTTGGGACCTGAAGGTGGGTCTGAAGGCACAGGCTAAGGTTTGTAGCTCTGGGGTTTTTACTTTGGCAAATGAACTCGTAGAAAATCATCTAAGGAAGCAGAACTGCCAAACAAAGGAAATAACAATATATTCTTTTTGTGTGTGTTTTTGTTTTCCCCTGCAGTAACCACAACTCTCTCCTCCTGGTCCGGGCATGCCAGAAAATGCAACGAAACAGCCAAGTCCTATTGTGTCAATGGAGGGGTGTGCTACTACATCGAGGGGATTAATCAGCTGTCATGCAAGTAAGTGAGTGGAGTTCTTGTGTCAATATGGAAATTTCTTGGCTGAGGGAGAGGAGACCTTTGTGCAACTGCCACAGGTCGGGGGAGCTCTGAAATTCTCCTGGCAATTGCAGTTTGAGCTGTGCAGGTTCAGAAAGGGGCACTAGAGGGGCAAGGGTGAGGGGGCAAGGATTCGTATTTTCCTTTTGTGTGTGTGTGTCACTGTTCACTTTTCCTGGCTTTTCTCCCTCTAAGAATATGTTTGTCCTGGCTGTTTCTTTTCCTTTATTCCCTTTCTCCTCTGCAGCTGCAAGGAAATTTGGGTCCCTTTTGCTCTCCCTGAGCTGACACGTCCTGTCCTCCAGTCAGGGAGGCTTTCAGGGGCACAGCCTCCTCCCTCCCCCATGACTGGAGGGGTCCCTTGCTGAGAGCTTCCCCAGCCTCTCCTGTATCTCATGGGCCCAGGGTTAACCCCCAGATGTTCCCCTCTCTGTGCAGCTTTGTGGCCACTGTGGGATGTTTGTTTCCCCCTTCAAACCTGCAAGAAAAACTAGAGATGTGTACGAAATTACACTTGAAATGAGCTTTGAAGAGTTTGAAGTGGGGCTGCACAGCCTGAGGGATGTGGAATGGGATGTGAGACTTTTTCACCCCTGGTTCAGAGCCAGAAAGCCCAATAGCATCACACACCTCACCCCCAAGCTAAGAGTGCCTATGGACAAGCTGTGCAGTCTGATTGCCAGTGCTGGAGGTGCAGGTACCCAGAGCTCACCTGTACCTGCCCCTGGGCTCCTGCCCTGGGTGTGCATTCACTGAGCAGATGGAATCCTCTTGTGAGCTCACCTGGTGATCCAGGCATCACTGCCCAGCTTGGAGAAGCCCAAAGCTGATAATTTTCTCCCTTTGGAACCCAGAGACCTCTCAGTGGAGACACAGCCAAAGGTATTTACATCTGTGAATGTCAGCCCAGCAGCACTGCAGGATGTGATGCTATCAGGTACCTCAGCTCCTCAGGCCTTGGAGGATGCACTGAACACAACCCTCAGCCCCCATGGAAAGCCTGGAAGGGCTGGATCACACTGAGCACATCTCCCTTGTCCCAGTACTCCTTTGATTCTGCAGGAGCAGCAGAAAAGGCCATGTGGAAATGCATCCTGCTGAGCTCTTGTGCTCTGGCTTCCAGTGCAGCTGTGGTGGAAGGAGCATCTCCCAGTTCTCCCAGACTTGCCCCTTAGACACAGAAAGAGCTGGGCAGGACAGAAACCAGCAGCTGTGGCTTCCACGTTTCCCACACCTGCGTGGAGTGGGAGCAGCCCTTGTCCACCCAGCCCTGTGCTTTAGTGTAGTTGTCACTGCTGTTGGTGTCTCGGTGGCACCGTGGACTCATCTTGTCAGTGCTTCCCACATGGGGGAAGCCCCATTTGATGCCTAAAGTCACAGCCACCATTCTGGGGTAGCTTTAGCCCAGGAAGCCCCAGAAATTCCATTCTTTCCATTCTGGGAAGGGCTGAACCCTTGAAGTGTGGAGGAGTGTATGAATCAATATCTGTAAGCAGTGTGGTCATGGCAGAGGCACAGATTTCAAGGCTGTTTCTTTTGGGAAGAACCTAAATGCAGATGAAGATTGAAATGGGATCAATTTCTAATTACAACAAGAGTTACCTGAGTTCCTACCATGCATCAGAATCACTTTTTCCTAATGAAGAATACTGTGGTAGTTGTCAAATGTCTGCAGCAGACAGACTGTTTTAACCAAAGCAATTCCAGCCTACCTTCCAACCAGGCTGCTCTGACAGATGATGAACAGAGGGAATGCTCAGTGATGGATTCCATTAAGATTTTATGTGCCACACCAAACAGACCTAATTATTTCATATAATTTAAAGGCCTGAATTCTTCACTTTGCAGATGGTAAAATGATATCCTTTCCTGATGAGTTCCAAGGTACCAATTGCTAAAACCAGATGGGAACTGAACAGGGCAGGAAAGTGTTACCCAGAAGGAGGTGCTGGGAAGGTCTGCACTGTCACTGCTCATCTGCAAGAAAAGGTGGCTCCATGTTCACAGAAACCCGGGGAGCTGAGTGCCTTCCACACAGCACAGTCACCTCTGATCTTACTGCTTCAGGAGATCCCTGGATGCTCATTCTCCTTGGGTGTTTTTATCATTAAATCTCAGACTGAAGATAAGAAAACCTCGCTTTTGAAGTGGTGTAATTTTAGAGTTTCTGGATTCTAGAGGCTAATAACTTTTGAGGAATGCAGAAGCATTTGAACTGAAAAGTGTTTCCCATAAAATGGCTCTCCCAATGACAGGGGAAGATGCTGATGAATAAACAGACTTCACCTTTGCCTGCAAACAAAGATGTGATACATTCCACGCTTCCTCATTGCACCAAGACAGATCTGCTGCTGTGGTTTGTGAAAGATGCAGGAGGACAAAGGAGAGGAGGCCAAAGATACAGGCTTTCAAGTTCATTTCTGATCTCTGCAACAGCAGCCTTGGCCCTCCAGCCTGACTGTGCCTCTGAGCCAGGAGCATGGAAGAGATCAGCAGGTTCTGCTCACAACCTCTTCAAAGGCTCTGGAGATCAACAAGAGCCCCGTGAGCAGCTCCAGCCAGGAACACATGTTGTCCATGTGCTGTTTCCATGTCATTCTTCCAGTCAGAGCCAGCAGGGCCTTGGGGGGATCCTCTGGTCCCCTGTGCCAGCTTGCAGCCCTCCCTTCCTGAGTGCTCAGGGGGTTCTACCCCCAGCGCCAGCACCCATGTGATGTTACCAGCCAGAATTTTGGAGTGTTCTTGTTCACTGCCTGCCACCATCCTGCGATCAGCTTCTTGGAATGGGTTCCATTCTTGCAGATGTCCAGAAGCACAGGAAATCCTCTCTGTAGATGTTCCCCCTAGCAGTCTGGACCAAAAACAGCAGATGAGTTCTCAAAAAATTTCTTCTCCTGATGTGGTTCATGCTCGATTTGCAACAAATATTGCCTAAACTGGCAGCTGGCTTTTTATTATTATTTTATAACATGCTTCCCAGAAACGTGTTCCTCCTGGTCTTTTAAATCCTGAGGAACAAAGTATTTGCTTGTAATCCCACTTCCTCCCTCCCTTTTTAATACACTTCAGACAGACCTTGGATAAAGCATTTTCTTCACTGAGGAAGAGCCCAGAATGGACTTGGATTGTTTCAGAAATTGTGTCTTTCTGGATTGTGTTCTTCCATAATTTTATCCTTAATTTGAAGTAAACTCTACACATGCTGGTGTCAAAGGAAAGCTGCACATAAAGTGATCTGTGCTGTTATCCTGACTCTGCAAACAGACCACCTGGAAGTTAAATGGGAGACATGGGACCTGCCTCAAATATTCTGCAAATTTTCTGCATAAACCTGGGAAATGACAGAGCCACACACAGACAGAACTGACTCAGCAGACCTTGTAAATTAAAAAGCCCCAGGTTCTTGACAGGAAGACTTTCTCGACGCTTCTCCAGATCATTTTGCTCAGAGAGGCCTTGGGAGTCACTCCAGGGCAGTGACAGGTCTGAGTAGAGCACAGAGGGGATGCACACAAGCAAGTCTCCAGGCTGTGAGCTGGGCTGGGGCACACAGCAGAGGTGCCTGGTTTGCTGTGTCCTGTCAAACAGAGTGTTGGGATGACTGGCAGCCTCTGCTCTTGGATCTGCCTCTGTCCTGGAGAGCCCTTGGCACAACTTGGAGCACTTGGAGGCTGCTCTAATCTGTTATTGCTGGGTGCCCCACAGGGCTGTGCTATCCAAAGAGCAGAAATGCTCTTTTCCCCAGTTAGGTCTTGGCACACGTTAGGTACAGTTGTGTTCTTCCCAGCCAAACAAAGCAAGCAAGTCAGGTCTCATCACTGCAGAGCCTTCTCTGCCCACTGAAATGCTCTTCACATCTCTTTCGTGTGGTCAGTGGAATCAAAGTGAACTGCTCTGGGCCAGGACCTTGTGTGGGATCAGAGGACTAAAAGTATTACAGAGCACCACCCCCACATCATGTTGGACCAGTTGTGCTCTCAAGAATCGGGCTGGATATTTGCAAATGCTGACAGATAAACAGTCTGGGCTTGGGGTGACAGCTCTGCAGGCAGGTCAGAGGCCTGGACCACCTCAGGCAAAAAGTGAAAGTCAAGGAGAGAATGAAAAACAAAACAAAGCAAAAGGAGAAAAGATCAGATAGTTTTAAAATTAATTGATGAATCCAAGTCACCAATTTTTAAAAATCACATGTTTACCTTCTCCAACCTTATTGTTTCCTGCAGATTTTCTCAGGACAGAGAAAGATCATCCTGAAGTTTAGGCCACACTGCCAGCTCCCCTGTGCTTTCCCAGAGCACCATGCAAAGGTGTGACTATCACAGGGATGCTGTATGGCCTCTGTTTGCTCAGCTGCCCTGTGGCATCTGGAGCTGTTCACCCCTCCCAGTGACGTTAGGTCAGCACAGCTGCTCATTGCACAGCCACAAGGACGTCACCGTGCCAGGGATGTATGAGCAGCCCTTCAGGGAGGTGTTGCAATGTCCTTGGAAATGAAGAGCTAGGGATGAAAATCTCCACATCCTGTTCCAAATCCCCCGAACCAGCCAGGACTCGTTCTTTGGGTTTTGCATGCTGTTTATCTTGGGTGATGAGATCAGGTACCTTTTCAGGTTCAAGTGGCCCATCTGTGCCTCCTGCTCAATGCACTGTGACTGCATCAGACCCTTGAGGCCCATCAGAGTGTGGAAGCTGATCCTGCAGCAGCAAAGGCTCAGGGAAGGCAGCGACGCAGATCCTGCGGCCGCTGCCGTTGCTGAGCCCAGCAGTGGATGTGCCTGAGCTTTGGACTCCATCTGCAGCAAACATGCCTTGATTAGCTGCTCTGGAGAAGGCCTCTGTGTTTATTCTGGTTGCTTTCTCTTCTTCCCATCAGTGATTTGGTGGAGTCCAGCCTTTTGTGGCTCTCCAGAGCCTGATCATCTGGGACTGGTCAGGGGACAATGACAGAACTGTCTTCTTTTTCAGCCCTTCCCACAAAAAAGCAACATGCTTGAAACATTTTTTTTTTCCCCATTTGCTTACTTCAGTGCATTGTGTCCTTCTGCTATGGCTTGTCTTTATCGTGTCATTTTGAAGCACCTGTTCATTCACATTTTTCTGTAGCATGGATTACTTTATGAGAGCTACTGAATTTGGCATATTTTAATTAAGATCTGGGGGTGCAAAGGAAATGTGCCTACCCTTGCAAGATTTAGAGCAACAGCTCCACAGAAAAAGTTTGCTTCCAGCGGGAAGACAAAAGTAGCAAATAATAATTAACAATAATTATTACCCTCCCCTGATACAGGGCAAAATGTCGAAGTTCCTCAATTTTCAGCAATAAGTGCCCAGGAAACATCATAAAAATGAGTCATTCAAACTATTTTGGTTTGTAGTTTTTGAGATGCTTTATTTGACTGATCATCTTACTGCATTTTTGTTACCATGTAAATATCTCACTGCAATTCATCCTGAACCCAAGAGCAGAATTTTGCAGATGTTTTCAAAATGGGGTTATTAAAAAAATAAAAGGTCTTAAGGTCAAAATTAAAAGAATGGGATATTTTCCAGCAATAACAGAAAACAGAATCTGGACAGAAAAATCCCTGAGCAATTTTATCAATGGCATTTGCAAGTAATTTTCAGAGGTAGCAATTAGACACAGAGAGATGGAGTTAAGCAAGGGCAGTTTTGGGACTTTCCACTCAGGCTAGAGAGGGGACAAGGTGCTGTCTGCAAGAGTTTGGTGCAGCCTTGTCCTTCTCCAGGACCATTTCTACAGAAACACCCTTGTCCACTTCCCTTGGCCTCTGGGGAGGGACCCATTGTGCCTCTGTGAGAGCACCATTAAGACCAAAGGTGATGTTTGCAGGGAAATCCACCAGCTGTGAAGTCCCTGCAAGAGTTTTCCAAAGAAGGAGGGACTTGGTTTTGCTGGGCCATCCAGCCAGAACCTCTGGAGTCCAATGTGCAGGAAGAAGGATGTCGTGATCAAAAACCAGCTCACAGCTCTCAGCTGCAGTGAGCCTTAACTTTCAGGTATATCCCTCACTGCAGAAGAGCTGCCCTCACCACAGGCAGCAGATTTTAATGCAGAAGGGATGATCTCTGCTGCTCTTCCTGTCCAGACTGGGAGAACCATGTGCCAAGCATGCTGGAAATTTCTTTCCTTGAAGCCACATATGAGGCCACAGTAATAAATAATAAATCATCTTCAGCAGCTTAGAAAAGGAACTAAAAGCACTGCATGCTCTCAAAGGTCTTCTGGTCACTGCTTCTGCCTGCAGCCTTGCTTATGAGGAGCCAGAACCCAGGTATGCAGGGGTGGCACATTGTGTCTTGACAGCTTGTACACAAGCTTGAGAGGTGACAGAAGGTGCTCTTGTTTGGGGGGTATTTTTCCTGTCACTTCTCCCAGTGCTGAATCACTGAGAAAGTAAAGATGAAAATCCTGAGCTGTCCTAGACACAGAGAAGAGCTCTTCTCCCCACCCACGCTTGGCTGACTGGAGAGATCTGAAGATGGGCTATATGGTAGCTGTCATGGCATCAAAGCCTCTTTGACACCTTTTTATTTTGCTTTTTCACTTCTTACCAATTCCTTTCTCTGGGCTTTTATTTCCTTCCACCAATATTCCCATAATTTCCAGTCTTTCATGCAGACTCAGCCACACTGGAGTTCCAGCCTTGGCTGACCTCTTGCAGGTGTGCACCTGAGGTAATTTTAGCTCCTTTCTGACAAAACACCCCTTTTTGGGGTGGGTGGGACAATTGCTTCATTCAGCAGCACCCTTGAGGCCCTTTGGTGTTCTCACAACATCCAGGAAATGTCAGATCCCAGACAGATGGAAAGCACGTTGCAAGCTAAACTGGATTTTCTTGAAGACCCTTGAAGATTCTTCCCTTGAAGAAATTCCTGACTCTGTCAGAGATGATAAATAAACTTCAAAAAGTATTGGGAAGACACTTTCTCTTTTGGATTCCTTGCTAAAAGCCCAATGCAATCTCTGAGGGGTATCTCCAGTCCTGCTTCCCTGGGGCTGTCTTTGTGCCACCCAGTTCCTCAGATTTGTGCTTTTTTATTGACAATGGGGCATTTCCTTCACTTCCCAGCACCAGCTTCCTCTGCTTCATTGCAGGGAAGGTCAACAGGTCCCATGTCTGATGGTCACCCCTTGGGCTGAGCTTTCTTTGGGAGCTGGCTTGCTATGGCTGGTACATCTCCCTTTCCTGTGCTCCAAGATGAACATCCAAGAATGAGAAAAAAGCACCAATTTTTCAAAGAAATATGCCTGACTAGGGAGTTCAGTTTTCAGTTTCAGAAGTGACTTGGTTACCGAGAAACTGAAGTGTGTGACTGGAGAGCTCAGTGCAGCCTCATGCAGAGCCATACCCTTAAGTTCTCCATGGGCAGTTTGGGGTGCACAAATAGCCCAGCACTCCCACTTAGAGGTATGAGCACAGGTCTCAAAAACCCAGATGCTGACCCATATTTGGTCATGGGCAGTGAGGGTGCAGCAGGTTTTTTTGCACAGCTCAGGCCTACTCAAACTGCAGGGAAATCCAGCGAGAAAGCAAGTGCCAAAGCCAGGTCAGTGTATGTCCATGATGAAGACAACTACTAAAAATCAAGGTTTTCTGCATGGAGCCTGGACCTGGACCATCCCCCACCAGATGCAGAGGTTGGGAGCAGTTGCCTGACACTGTGCGGTGGCTGCTCCAACCTCCTGCTGTCCTTTGAAGTGGCCTGGCCAGGAGCTGAGCCATTGACATCAGATTTGGCCTCTGATTCATCTGTTTCTTATAAGGTGTCTTTCAGTCCCTTCTTTGTTGACCACTTGCAGGTCAGTGTGGGACAGTGAGATCTTGTGGGTGGCATCTGAGATTGAGGAAGCTCTGAAGTGTACCAGGTGCAGCTCCACTCACAAAAAGCTGAAAAACAGGTGTCAAAATGCTATAAAGATAAAGCCCTCTTAAGCTCAGAGGAAAGAGAGGTCTGTTGAGAAGGGAGGGAGTTGTGGGACAGGGAGGTGAGAAATGGGACTTGAAGAAAACTAGGGGTCCTGTGCAGGACTATCCAAGGAATATCCAGAAGAAAAGATGTGAAGTGAGGGAGGGAGACAAGTGCCTGGGGGAGAAGTGTTTGACCACGCCAGGCTGGGCTCCCATCGCTTCCCAGGCTCACCTGCAGTGGGTGACAATGCAGAGGGTGCAGGTGCTGCTCACCCTGGGTGGTTCTGCAGCTCCTGCTGCACCCCTGCCCATGGCCCTGTGCTCCCCAAACCTGGCTCAGCTGAGGAGTACTCTGGGGAGCTGCTCATGGGCTGGTGCCAGTGCCTGGTGGCTCTTGACTGCAGGGCACCTTCCCTGCCACCTGAGCATCCTGGGAATTTGTAGCTGGTGTGTCGCTATAGGATACGTGAGAGCACAACGTGAGTCACTGCTATTTGCAAGGTAAAGAAGCAAGTTTATTTTCTGATTCCAACTTTTATGCTTTTCCAAAGGTGACAGTGGATTGGAGAGTGAATGGGCCACCTCTCCAAAGACATTGGACAAACTACTCGTACATCAAGTTTCTCCACCCCTATGCAGGAATGCAAAACAATATGTTGTTTATAGAAAATTGCGTGAGAAAGTTTTCTAACAGAATGTAAACTCAGAAGGCTTTAGAAAATCTTAAGATTCAGGGCGACACTGGTCCCCATGAGCTGGCACACCTTGGCCCATCAGGTGACCCAGGCCAGGCCAGAGCCTGAGAGAGCCTTGCATTTGGACAGCATGTGAGCCCCCTGCAGCTCAGCTTTCTTCTCTGTCCCTTCCTCTCTGTTAACACAGAGACTCTGCATGTGCTTTCTCTCTAACCACCCCGAGACTGCTTTTGGTGCCTCTTGCCAGTCTACAGAGCAGCTCCACGGAGTCTCTGAAAGTGTCATCCAGCCCATCTCAGTCTTCCTGCCAGCTGGTGCTTCGAGCAGGTGAGAAGGAAGGAGGCAGGCAGAGCAGGACAGAGCAGGACAGAGCAGGAGGGGTTTGGCTGCCTGCTTGAAGACCCTGGCCTAAACCAGAGCTGGAACACTGATGTTGCAGGTGCCTGGTTAAAGCAAAGAGTAAATACGCATGTAAAGCCTTTATTTTTTCCATTCATCACAATGCACTTTTTATTTCTGACCTTAGCCTCAAGAACTGTGCCAGACATGTTCTGTGATTTCTCCCCTTTTCCCCTCCAGATGTCCAAATGGATTCTTCGGACAGAGATGTTTGGAGAAACTGCCTTTGCGATTGTACATGCCAGATCCTAAGCAAAGTATGTTTGAAGACAAAAAATGCACCACACTACTTAAAACCTCCCGGGCACAGCGGTGGATGTAGAGTGCTCTAGTCAGGGACGGCTCTTGGTGTCCGCTTTGGGTAGGGCTTAGGGCTGCAGGTAAGGGTGAAGGCTGAAGGCAGACAGATAGGAGCTGTGGAAGCGATCAGAAGGGGCCTCAGTTCAGCCTGTTTGGGTGTCATTTTGCTATCTTGTTTCTCTCTTTCTGGTTTTCTCTCTTCCGGTAGGTGTCCGATCGAATTCACAGGAGACCGGTGTCAGCATTTCGCAATGGTCAGCTTCTCCAGTATGTCTCTTTCTACTTCTCTCTCTCCTTGTTGTTGTAGCTCTGTGTCATGTCCTTAAAGCAGGTTCTTCTGTTCTCCAAGAGCCCTCTTCCTGTCTTGTGCACTCCCAGCTCTGCTTGGTACTAAGAGGAGCTGTGACCGTGTCCAAGAGGAGAACTGGGGCTTGTTATCTCCCCATTTGTTGGAATGGGCTCTGCTTTTATTTCTGATTGAACTGAATGCTGCTTGCTCTTTTCAGGCAAAATGCAGAGGAGTTCATGTGGTGGATGTGCTGTGTGAGATGAGCCTGTGCTGTGTGTAGAGCTGGGCCTGCCAGCATTGCTGTCCTGACATGGACTGTGCTCTGCAGGGCAGGATTTGGGCATTTTTCCTGTGCCGTGCAGGGCAGATTTGGGCATTTCCCCTGTGATGTGCAGGGCAGATTTGGACATTTCCCCTGTGATGTTCAGGGCAAGATTTGGGCATTTCCCCTGTGCTGTGCAGGGCAGATTTGGACATTTTCCCTGTGATGTTCAGGGCAGGATTTGGGCATTTCCCCTGTGCCATGTAGAGCAGATTTGAGCATTTTCCCTGTGATGTTCGGGGCAGAATTTGAGCATTTCCCCTGTTCTGTGCAGGGCAGATTTGGACATTTCCCCTGTGCCATACAGAGAAGATTTGGGCATTCTCCCTGTGATGTTCAGGGCAGGATTTGGGCATCTTCCCACCACTCCTGCAAGGGGCGTGTGAGTCTCTTTGAGCCAAAGGAGGAAATCACAGCCAGTGTGTGACTGTAATGAAATCACTTTACAGTCTGTGGCACAGAGGTCACCCTGGTGGCTGCCACTGCCTCTGGGCTTCCCAGCCTCACTGCCATGCAGGATAAACCTGCCAAGTGGCATCAGACTATGTCCCTCCTGGACACAGAGGTGCTTCTGTCTCTCCTAGGCGGTTGGACAGTCTTGCATATGGGATTGAGCCTAAGCACAGTGACTGATCCTTTAATGCTTTCAGTGGGTATAAATACCCCAAAGCCTTTGCACTTAATGCTTCCCAGTTTCAGTTTCCAGTTCCTACAGGCCTCACTTATAACCAGCTCATGGTGGTCAAGGTGGATGATTTTTCTGGGTCCCTATTCAGTCAGTGTCCCAGCATCAGTGGGATCCTGGTCTGGGTAAGGACTGATCTGGAAGGAGGTGCAGCTACAGTGCAGGAAACCTGTGACCTTCCCTGTGACCTTCCCTGTGACCCTTCTGTGACTGTCCCTGAAACCCATCCTGCCTCCACGCTGGCTGACTGGACCCACCACAAATGGTGGGTTTAAAGAGAAGCTTTTTAAAAAGAGCCAAAAAGAGGCTTTAATTAGTGGTAACCAGAGGAGAAATGCCTCTTCAGGATGGCTCCTTGATTGCCAGAACGCCTCTCCCACTGCTCTGTGAGGAATCCTGCCGTCCTCATCCTGAACTGGAATTGCAGGAGCCTCATTAGCACGTGCTAATAGCTGGCAAGTGCTGGAATTAGACTCCCTTGCATGGAGCATACAGACAAGATGCAAATGGACTTTGTGGGGCCCTTGGGACAGCTCAGTGTTTTTACATTGCCTTTTGTTCCAAATTGGCTTCCGAAGTTGAAACCTCCATTGATTTATTCTCCCAGACTCCAATATCCAAGCAAGCTCTTTTTAAAACGACAACCCAAAATGTTCTGTTTTGATCTTTCACCTGATGCTAAAGGGTTTCCTTCCCTCTTGGAAGCCCTGGGTGTCAGGGCCCTGGCTGCAGCCAGCAGTGGGATGCTCACCCCATGGAGCTGATTTGTAGCATGTTTCATGAGGTGTTGTCCAATGGGCTTAAACATTATTGGTGCCCTGCTGCAAAACCAAAACGGGGGTGAAAATGAGTTTTATGTCAAGAAAATGCCTTTTGAGAGCATTAATGGCAGGACTAAACAGCATGCGGGTTTTTTTCCCAGCTTGCAGAATCCAGCTTTTTATGGGACTGAGATTTGTTTTAATTTTATTCACGTGTTAGAGGAACAATGTCAACTTTAAAACTGACACACGTACATTTCCTTAACTCAAGTTTGCTTTAACCACAGCATAGTAAGGTAAAAACAGCTTAACAATCCAGGCTACCTGTCTGAACTTGGATAAAATTCATATAAGAAGATGATTCATACATGTTTATAGCTGTTTTCACTTTCAGGTCACAGTTGGGTAATATAGATAGCAGCAGCTCTGATGAAAAACTTGCACTGAACTTTCTGTTTTTCTGAGTAGGAAAAGCATTTCACTCAAGTGTGGACCCTGCAAATGCTTACCTTCTACTTTGATCAATAATTAGGGCACAGGAGATGTTGCTGATTTTCCATAATTCACTCAATGCTTCATCCCATATGGGTTCTGACAGGTCAAAAGCTGAAACAGATTAAATGAGGTTCAGGCATTTCCACTGGAAATAAAATAGCTCTGTCCTGATTCATGTTTTGAGAACACTGCCAGCATTTGACAGATACTTAAATAAGGACACCTATATTGGTGTTGTTTTAAATGTATTTGGGGTATTTCAGGTTTTCAGGCCTAGATTGGATCCTCCTGATTCTTTAATATGAATATTAAATATGACAATGACTTTTATTAAGTATATCCTAGGGCTGAGTGAGAGTCTCTGCAGAGTGAGCTAAATTGAAGGTGCTGTTCTGAAAAGATATGGCAGACATTTTGCTGAATTTGGGCCACAAATGGAGATGGTGAAGCATCCCAGCATCATGCCAGATGTTGTATGTCCTCCTTTTGGGAGCAGCTTCCTACCTCTCTGGTTTAAACCCTTATTCACATTTTGCTCAGGTAAAACTCCCCTGAACTCCAGGAGTTCAGGCTGTCTTTGTCTCTTTGACAGGTAGCTCTGGAGGTTTATTTTTCTCTGATTGCCCAAAACACCTGCTAGAGTACATTATGATGAAAATGAGGTGTATTTAGATAGGTTTTTGCTCATGAGATGTTTCTTTATGTTGCTGTTCCAACCACATGAGCAAGTGTCTACTGCCAGCCCTTCTGGATATATATATCATTGCTTGAAAATTAAGAGAAAATGTTAAAGATGGGGTTTTGATTTTTTTCCCCCATGTCAGGCTCACACTGTTGCTATTTTCTACCAGATTGGTGCACAGAAACTCACTAGGAATTGGATTGGTGGGGTAGCTCAGAGAACCCCCAGTCTGTCCTGACTCTGTCCACACATAAGGCTGATGGATCAAGTTTAGGAAATCATTTTGTTTAGGCTTTAAGTAACCTGTGAGAAGAAAACCTTATAGAGGGACATTAAAGCAACATTTAAATCAGTTGAAATTTAAACTGCAGGGAATTAATGGCAGTGAACAGAGGGGACACTGGTTGCCTACAATTGCTGTATGAAACTGAGGAATGCCCTGGCAGATGAGAACAGAGAGAGTTATTTCCATGGCTGATTAGTCATTAAATCCTCTTGCTGAAACGTTTTTCACATCAAGGTCCCCCTGACTCTGTGTCTCCATGGACAGACTGGTGGGAGCAGCTGTCAGGTGGCTCCTGGGGCACAGGTACCTGCAGAGCCACAGACCACAGGGTCTCTGTCCCTGCTTTGCTGGGAATGGAACACCTCAGACTCTTGCTCCACAGCCAGAATGAATCCACAGCAATGGCATCCATGGACTATTCAGCTTCTGCAGCCAGATTTTCCTCTCTGCTGGTGCATCTGGCTGAAGAGTGCAGCCATATCCAAAAGGGTCAGGAATTCTCTCGGAGAGCTTCTGCTGAGTGCTGGAGGCTCACCCAGTGTGAGCTGCCTCCTGGGTGCAGCTCCTCGGGCACAACTGTGGCTTGCAGCTCTCCCCAGGAGACAGAACCATGTCCAAAATCATCTTTCCTTCTAAGAAACCCTTTTTTCAAAGTTGTGCTGGCACCTGTGTGTCACAGCTGCCCATTCTACATCAGATCAAGATCTACCTCTGTCTTCTCTCTTCTACAAGCAACTTTTCAGGTCTTCGTTAAATCCTCCTGGAGGTTTACTAATAACTTGCCAGGCTTTGGGCTGGCTGGTTGTAAAGGTTTTGTAAAATATGTTGGCAGCTTTATCAGTCCTGGTGCAGCTGAGATCCTGAAAGTTAAACGTGGTCAGCAGGAACATTTGCGTTTCCTAAGTCTGCAAATTTGGATTCTTTCCACTTGTGATTTATGGAACAATTTAGAAAATTGGGATAAAGTTATATATTTATTCTTCCCTCTTGCCTGTGTAAACTGAAACTTCATCTCAACTTTGCTGTTTATTCATCTCTACAAATAATCATCACCAATCTGGAGGACAAATGTCATACCATTCATCTTGGTTAGTGAAACATTTTCATTTTCTACTTCGTGATCCAATTAAAATTGCAGGCTGTAGCCTGCCTGTAAACACCCTTGAACAGAGCTGACATTCATATGCAATGTCATCTAGCATATTCTCTATTTTTACCCCGTATTAAATTCTTGGTTTCTTTACAAACTGAATTCTAATTCTCAGTTGGAGCCTTCCTATTGGTCTGCTTGGAAACACCTAAGAGCAGGATTTTCAGGCATCCCTTGGGAGAGCAGCTTTGTCTTCAGCCTGGTCCCACAGCAGCACCTGAGCTGCCTCCAGTGCTGCTGGGCAAGCCACTGTGGAGCAGTGTGGCCTTACGGGGCGAGAGGCTTCTTGTTTTCCTAGGGGATGGTCCCCTTCCCCCAGAACTCACCAGGCTGTGGCAGGGGTGTGTTGGTCACCACCCTGACAGGTAGGAGTGACCCTTCTGGTGGCTCCTCGTGCTGAGGTGAAGTGTCCTCGTGAGCAGAGGGATGAATGTACCACTTCAAGCTCTTCTGGGAAGGTCTAGATCTGAATTTTAGCTTCTCTGTTCACCTCACTTACTCAGCAGTGGCTTCCTACCTGCTGTGACTGCAATACAAGAATGATAAATGAAAGATTATTTCTTTATTTTACCTAAATTTCTGCTTCCTCCTCCACCTCTCACTCATCTGACCCCAAACCAATATTTAGCAGCATTTTAAATTCCACAGACACTCTGCAGCTTCCATTCAGTCACCACTGAATTACAGGGTGATGGCTGTGCTTTGGTGTGGCTGGGTAATTGCAGGGTGTCTGTGGTTTAGCATGGCAGGGTGATCCCTCTCCCCAGGACACAGCACAGGTTACCCTTGGGATCTCCTAAAGTTAATTGCATGTTCATCCCTGTCACTGCTGAGGCAGGATGGGAATGAAGAGACTCTGATCAGAAGGCTGCTGAGAGTAAAACTCTGGTTTATTCAAAATACATCTCTCTTTTATACAGAGCTTCGTGAGGACCAACTCCATTGGTCCTGAAGTGAAAACAAACCACACCATTGGTGCAGAGTGCTTGATGCACAGTGATAGAACTTAACTATAAACAATGTGAATAACAAGAGAGATAAAGAATTATTTACATTTTTTTCCAACTCTTTCCCAGGTATCTGCCTGGCTAGAAACTCCCGTTTCTCTCTTTGACTGAATCTGAGACTCACACATCCCCAGCACATTTTGAATGCTCTGTTGCTGTGTGTTTGGACTCTTGATGCCAACCAAATTCGTTTTATTGCTGCAGTACTGGAGAAGGTGAATGGCTCTGGAGTTTGTGGAACATTTACAGACTTCCTGTTCCTGGAGATCCCACGTGTCACCCTGCTCTTAACACAGGCACAGTGTCCTCTGTCCCCATCGTGACCCCCTGCTCACATTGCTCCCTGTACACCCTGGGAAAAGCCTGAAACAGAGTCCTGCAAGTGCTACTCTCATCAACACAATTGATTAGCCACAAAATTATCGTCAATTTATTATCTTGCTAGTCCTCAGATGTCAATTCTCCACTTAGTTTCCTGCCTTAGAGCATGCTCTGTATCCCAGAGAGCGTATTTTGAGGGGATAATGTGCAGTAACTAAACATCTTATTGACGTTCTTGGGCAATCTGAAGACCAAGTGAGCACAGGCACAGTTTTCACAGCTGTTTGCTAAGGCTTTTATCCTTTTTAATCATCCTATAAATCTACAGTGCAGTGAGAGTCATCTTGCTTGAGGTGTTACTCCAGGAATACTTTACATTAAATGTTTTTGTCTGCTCATCTTTTAAAATAACTACAATACATCATAGTCACAGAGTCACTGCAGATGAAGTAAATGCACGACTTTGTCTTTTGTCTGATGCTGAGAACAAGCGTTTTCAGAAAGATTCAGGAGGCACATTTGGAATGAGATTTTCCAAAAAAACCCTCACGTCCCCAGCTCAGGGAGCTTGGGGAGTGCCACAGCAGTTCAGGGTGCTCAGCTTACCCTGACCAGGTGCAGTGCAGGAGGATGATGATGAAGGTTATGAGGAAAACGCTGTGCTCACTTCCTCAGCCTACAGCTGCCATTTCAGGGCTGTCTCACTCCAGTTTATTTGCGTGGTAGCCCCTGGATAAATCACTTCCAGTGGACCTTGTCCTGTTGAAGCTGGAGGAGACAACAAGAAATATTGAGAGATTTAGAGGGCTTGGAGCGACAGAATGAGGGGGAATGGCTTCAAACTGAGAGAGAGCAGGTTTAGATTGGACATTATCAAGGAATTCTTCCCTGTGATGGTAATGAGACGCTGGCCCAGGTTTCCCAGCTAGCTGTCTGTCTCTGCTCCCTGAGCCTGGGGAGCCAGAAGAAACAGCAGCTCTGACATGAGAGGGGCAGTGGGAAAGGCTCGAGCTCCTCAGGTCCTGCCCACCACCTCTGTTCTCACAGGCATTTCTGAGTTTGCAAAAAATCATGGAAATATTTTTAATTGCATCCATTTGTAGCTGCAGATGTTGCAGAAAATCCTGGAACAGGGAGGAATGTGTGTATGCAGATGGACAGCAGCTTAGATGGGTGGATGAAACTTGAGGTATCTCTACATGCATTTGTCAGCGTCAGGGGAAACAGGTGTGTGCAATGGTGGGAGGACTTAGGAATAGGTCAGGGCTGGATATGATAACCAGGTGGTTTAGGATGAATATATTCTGTCCAGTTCTCTGCTGCCCACCACATTATGTCCATGTCACTGCCACAGAACGTACAAAAGTGTACAAAATGACTCTGAAATGCTCTGTAGAGTTTGCCGTTCCTTTTAAACAAATGTGAGATGTGAAGCAGAGAGCAGCCAGGTTTTGTGGCCTTTAAACTATACAAAATCTTAAAGAATCCAAATTTCCACCTACAAAAGCCCCCCACACACATCAGCACTGGTTTGAAGAGAAGAACCTGCTTTAGCACACGTGTTTACATGTTCTGTAACAATTAGTGCTAATTCCCCCCTGCCTAAATTTTGAACAGCACTGCAAAAGAAAGACAGTGTTTCTGTGCAGCAAAAAGCAGTTCCTATGGAAAATATAGTAAATAAATCTGGACATCTCCAAGCTGCAAATAATCTTGTGTGTATGGTGATTGGGAGCAGCAGAGCTCACTTTTATGTATGGTGGTAAGTATGGAGAACTTTCATGTTTATGTAAGAAAAGCTCTCTTTAGGTGATGTCTGTACCAGGAAAAACACTAAAACTCAGGATACCTGTTTTGCACTGTTGATTCATTGGATAGACTCCTGTGCTTAGCACTGTCTCTGCAAGATGAACTGCAATCTTACTTGTGCTGAATATGAATCTGAAAGCACATGCTCCAATTTGGGCTTTTTGCAGCACACTAAAACAATGCAGAACCTCGGCAGGAGTGCAGTTTGGAAGGCCACAGGCTTGAGGGGACCTTTCTGTGCCATTTGCACTTTGAGATCCACTGCCTTGCCCGGGCACCTCATCCCTCGCAGCATCCGTGGTTGGCAGGGCAGGGCAGGGCTGGCAGGGCAGGGGCTTGGAGGGCTGGTGCTGCCAGGGCTGCTGTGCCCCTGGGCTGGGCTGAGGCTGTGGGCAGCAGCACGGGGCCCCAGCAGGAGCCCTCCCAGCCCTGTGCCCAGCGCTCCTCTCTGGAGCACAGCCCCCAGGCACAGTGGGGCGTGGGAGAGCAGCCGGGGCAAATTTGCCCTGTGGAAAGGGAATGAATGGTTTTTACCAGGCTCATGCAGTCTCTATGTGTTTTGACCTGTCAGGAGTTGTTTCAGAACAAGTGTACCTTTCCTATTTTTTTTTCCCCTGCCTAAACAGTGAATTCCATATCAGGTACTAACAAACATGGCTCATCTCGAAAGAATTCATAATTAACTGAAAGAATTCATAATTAACTTCCACTGCAATTTGTTTGGGTCTTTCTTTGCATAACATGTGAGTTGTGGTGGGGGTTTGAAATGCTCTGAAGTGTACAGTGTCTCTGTGTGAGTGCTGCTGAGCCTACCAAAAGCTAACCTGCTGTAACTGCAGTGTGTGTGTTTGTATTTTAGAGTTCTCTGACAGACCTGTTTTTCTTTTTCTCTTTCTCTTCCTTGTCTTCTTTCTGCATTGGCAGAGCATCTTGGATTTGAATTAAAGGGTATGGAACAACCATTCATTTATTAATCAGAAGCCATTAAGAGCTTCCAACATTATATTTATGGCTTTAATGGGATGATTAAAAAATCAGCTGTTCTGTTCTCTTCCCTGGCACCAAGATGGATGTTTGGATTGGAAAAAAACCCAAAAAACACCAAACAAAACAACAACCAAAACCAAAACAAAGCAAATCACAAATTCTAAATGCAAACCTATGAAAATGCAGGTGTATTTTTAGCAGCACTTTTTTCTTTGTTCCAAGCAGCAGCGTGGTGTGTGTGGCATGACTGGGATGTTACAATTGCCACTCATCTCCATTCAACATGCTTTTGTGTATTTAACTGAAAACTTGGGGTCTTGTGTCCATCCAAAAGGTTGCCAGCAGGCACTGCTTGGGAGCAGGCAGGCATTCCAGGAATTGGAAGACAAGTTCTAGAAATATCAGAGCTGTTGCAGAAATTGCCATCCCAGACAAACTAACCTCCACCAGATCCTGCAAAGGGTCAGGATGAGCTTTGCCATTCCCCCTCCCAGACTTTAGCAGCTTTGTTTTTCTTCTTGAGCAGGATGAAATTGTGCCAAGAAAGTTGGCATGAGACAAGTTAGTCTAGAAAACTATCCCAGGGAAGCCAGTAGTTGCCCATGAGAATGGAGGGTGTAATGCTGAGCACCCCAGTGACAAGCTTGGGAAAACACTGCAGTAAGTTAAATGCTTTTAAAAATATCCCCTTTGGGCATTTACCTGCTCCTGCCCAGTTCCTCATAATCATATTATTTTCTTTCCATTCTCCTCAGTCTGGTTTTAGATATATATCAAGTTATCCCTTGAATAAGCAGCTGGGAAATCAAATCCATGAAGCAAGTTTTCCCTGGAGTGTGCAAGCCAGGAGCAGGGAGGGCTGGTCAGGAGGGAGCAGTGGGGTTGGGCAGCCTGGGATAGTGAAGGTGGCCCTGTCTATGGCAGGGGGGCTGGAACAAGATGAGCTTTAAGGTCCCTTCCAACCCAAACCATTCAAGATTCTGTCATGATTCCATGATTGATAACTTAACCTAAAAGCATTGGCCTGGCAGTGTCAACCAGAGCAGATCTTCACATGAAGATGCTTCGAGTCCCTCTGCTAGAGGTGTGAGGACCTTTAGGATTCACCAGTCTTTCACTTGTGAATCCTAAATTGCCTTCTGAGGTCCCTGAGGTGGAGGGACATTCCCTAAGTGAGGCTGAAGAAATCTCCTCTAGTTTTTGCAGGCGTGATCCCCCAGGACTGGTGTGCATCCCCCTGGAGCAGAAAATGTGTGAATTTTGTAGTCAGGGTGCTTCAGAGAAAGCGGTGCTGCTAATGCTAATACACTTGGACAAACCTTAAAATTGAGGATTTTTGACATCCCTTTTTTGTTGACCTTTTGTCCTGTTCCTCATCCATCCTCAATGTCATCACAGAAGCACACACATCCTGTTCCCAGTCTGCAGCCGTCTCTCCTCTGTCATTCGTCTGTCACTGTCATGCCTTGCTGGGCACCATGGCTGGCCTGTGGCTCTGTCGGCATTGTGTGGCACCACATGGTTTGTTCTTGGTGTTTGCTGCTGTAAAAGTGACCGTGCTGCTGCTGAAGATGTGTTTGTAGAGCACAGAGACACAAATGGACCTGCTCTGGGATCTTACCTGCTCAAGTACAAAGTTGCAGCATGCACGATCTCATTTCCTCTCTGGTGGTGTTGAGATGGTTTTGCCCCAAGTGATTAGTGGAAATGGTCCTTCAGTTTGTCTTGTCTCAGGGTTTCTGATTAAAACTGTGGGATTTTCTTTCAATTTTGCCTGTGTGCTATTTGAAAAGTGCCTAAAAATTGGAGGATTAGGTTCTGCAAATGAGCTATTCAAAAAATTAAAAACATACAAAGCTCATCTGAGGTGTTGCTTGGGCCACTCTCCCCTTCTGTTGAAGAGGGAAAAATTTCTCAGTAGCAGTGTCTCTGGTCACACAAAGTGAAATCCTGTTACTGAGCATCAGCTTTAATTAGATGTTGGGAGCCAAGCTCGATTACTATCAGCAGATCATTCACTTTTTAGTTTGCAGCAGTGATGCACAGCCTCACCCTTCACTGCTTTGTGTAGCAGAGCTGTCAGCTCGAGACAGAGAGGCCAAATCTGCATTTCTGATGAACTGAAATATTCCCCTGCAATTCAGGTGAAGGTTCAGGACAGTCAGACATGCCAGAGTCAGGGTCCCATACTGGCATGACCACCAGAACAAAGGCTGGGGTTTGAGCTCTGGCCAAAGAATTTTGTCCTGTTATAGATAAAAAACCACAGCCAAATAAACAAACAAAACCCCCCAAACAAACAACAAGAAAAAAAAGCAAACAAAACCCTCACCCATAGTTTTAATGTCTTTGCTCTTTCTTCCTCCTCCATGATTCAAAGGGAATTATTTCTGCTTAGGGAAAAAAGTCTTTGTAGCAAAAATCATTGCTATTGAAGGTTTTTTGCTGAAAACTGACTTTCCTCACAGCCTTTTTTTTTTTTTTTTTTTTTTTTTTTTTTGTTAAAGTAGTTTTTACTGACTAGTAGCAAAATTCTTGCCCAGTGCCATCCACATAACCAGGATATGAGCCCAGCTAGTTTTCCTAATTTGTATGAAATCTCTGAAACTCCTGTCTAAAGGAGAGAGCTGTACAGCTGTAATCCAGGTCCCAAAGATGTGTAAGAGCAAGAAAACGTGTCTGCCATGGTTGGTGATGCCTGGAATAAGGCACCTGTACCAAAGAAACATGTCATTGAAGGAGGAGTTCACCCCAGAGTGGGCTCTTCCCCCACTCCAGCTCCAGCTGGCTCCTTGTAGAGGAAAAAAAAACCCGCAAGAAGGCTTTGTTTTATATTTTGCATCTTCATGCCAGGATTGTCTTTCTTGCCAGTCCTTGTTTACCAGACCTTTCTCCATTCCCATTTTGAGAGTTAGAAGGAGATAACCATTTTTCCTAGCACCATTTTTTTTTCTCCAAAAATACTTTTTTCAACCTAGAATGGCAAGCTGAAATTGTTCTAAATATCCAGTTGACCAGAATGTTGCTTCCATTTTTTTCCATTGCTTCCTTTTTTTTTTTTTTTTTTTTTTTTTTTTGCTAAAATCTAGTCCCCAGGGGTTTCTGGGACCAGACCTGTTTCTCTTCTGGTTTTGTATTTGAGTGTTTGGTGGCACAGGGGTTATCACACAGTCTGTTCAAGGTATTTTGAGTGGTGTGGGGAAGCACACTGAGCACATCAGCCATGGCATGACTTTTATTGCTAATCTAGATGGGAAAAAATCATTCAATGAGTATTAAACAAGGCACTATTCAAGAAGGCCCAAACCCCAAAACTTTAAGACATAGTGTGAGGGCATGAGGACTTTGCTCATAGCTGCTGAGCTGAAACCCTCATGGCAGCTCTGCACTGAATCCTTCTCTCAGTCATCCAGCTGGAGAACCCAAACTGCCTCTGCTGCTCTCGGCAGAGGTTGCTGGATGTCACATCTGGTGTAGCCATGGAGGAAGAGGTGTCTTTGCCGTGGCGTTGCTGCCTAGGTGCAGTGCAAACGAGATCCAAACATTTCCTGGGAGCTTCGGTGGATGGGAATGAATCACCTTACTTCCAGCCTGGTCTGGGTTTTGGTGCAAGTGACTGGCTTTTCTGGTTGGAAAGGTAGCCCGTGATACTTGGTGGTATTTGAGAGAGGCAGCAGCAAGCTGCTTACATGTTGTGTGTGCCTCTGAGCTACCTGATGCAATGGTATGAATTGCCTCCTAGGGTTTCATTTAAAATCCATAACTGGTTCCTGTATTTTAATCACTCCACTCCCTTTTCTTTGCCTGACACACTGTCACTTTTCCATCCTCATGCTGCTTTTTGACTGTTCCAGGATGTCCCTTTCAGCACCTACATGCTTTGGGGCCTGTTGTGGTCCTCCCACACCACCCTGCCCCAGGGCATGTGGCTGTTGCGGGGCAGAAGCATCCTGAGCTGGGCAGAGCAGAGCCTGGGGTCAGGGATCACAGGGCTGTGTGCTCCTGGGAGTGGGGCATGCCCCAGGGCTCCTGTGCTAGCTGATCAGGGCACCAGAAAGGGGGGATCTGCTGGAAGGGAGAGGAGAGTCCTGGGGCTTGGTGAGATTAGTCACTGTGGGAAAGGAAGGGAAGGTGAGAAGTGTGAGTGCAGAAGGGGTGAGCTACTGAGTGAGAGAGGGCAAAGGCACAGGGAGACAAAAAGAGGCTTTTGAGGGGTGAGGAATGTTGGGCCAGCTGGGCTCAGGTCTGGGGCAGCCATTGGGTAGGCAGTGGATTGGCAGGAGGTCTGCCTGAGCCCTGTCCTCCGTCTCACCCCCATGCAGAGCTGGTTCCTGTGCAGCCAGAGCAGCCCAGGTGCTGGAGCGCATTGGTAACTGGTTCCTTTCTCTCCATTTGCAGAAGCAGAGGAGCTCTACCAGAAGAGGGTTTTAACCATCACGGGAATCTGTGTTGCCTTGCTTGTGGTGGGCATCGTCTGTGTGGTAGCTTACTGTAAAACCAAGTGAGTATGGGGGGCTCACAGGCAAGAACTGGCTACAGGTTAGTGAGTGGCAGTGTTCGTGTTCCACACATCCATGCTTTTCACCCAAATGCTAATCTTAGGAGATAATGTGCTGTGGTACTCCCAGGAAGGTCTCATGCAGGAGGCCAGTGAAGCTGTCTACCAGACTGTGTCTGAATAGGATGTTTTCCTGGCACCATTTGCTTGTCCCCTGGAACATCATTTTGCCCAGCCAGGTGATGCTGTGTTACAGGGAAAAGCTGTCCCCCAAGCCAGCAGCTCAGCTTCTGCCAGCAGAAGCACACTGGGTGGTTGTGCAGGAGCTGTGGGCTCGGTTTTGACATTGCAGGGACTTCCAGAGCAATCCTAATGGAACAGGAGAATTGGGAACCTCTTTTATGGTCAGCCTGGACAGCACTTTTCTACCTACTCAGCCTGCACCTCAGTTCAGAGTGCCCCTGTAGCTCAGTGGGTCTTGTGGAGCAGATGTCTCACCCTGGGCATGGGTAGGCTTTGTCCACTTTGTCCTTCAGGCAGGACACGTCAAGTGCTTTGTCACCAAGGCTGAGTCAGGATTCGCTTCCCTTTTCCTTCTCCCCACTTTTCTCCTCTACTGCCAGGTGGCTCTGCTACATTGTGCTGGGCCTTGCCTTGGAAAGAGGACCCTGGACCCAGCTTCCCAAATTGTCCAAGAGAAGAAAAGTTGAGCATTTGTTTGGAAAAGCAGTAGGAGGTGTTAAGGGTTGAATGCCTTGTTTCGTGTTGTTTGCAACTTACTGCAAATACCCTTGGAATATTCACATGTTGAAAACTTGCCTTCTCTTTCATCTCTGGGGGCACAGATCCCCATGAGAGAAGTGTTCCTAATAGATTTTTTTCTGTTCTAAAGGAAACAAAGAAAACAAATGCATAACCACTTGCGGCAGAACATGTGTCCTGCTCATCAAAACCGGAGCCTTGCTAATGGGCCAAGCCATCCACGTCTGGATCCTGAGGAAATCCAAATGGCTGATGTAAGACCTTTGCCTCCATCTCCCTGCATGCTCCCGAGGGGCTGTTTTCCACCAGGAGTTTGATGTGGATGTGTATCCTTACACACCTGTTTGCTTGTGTTTGAGGAGCAAAGCGCAAACAAACTCGAGCAAAAAGAAAGACTTTGCATAGAAACATTTCCAAAACCAACATCTGAATGGAAATGTGATTTTGCTTTGAAGTACAGGATGAGATTCAGTCATTTGGGATAGGCTTGTTTTGATTAATCAAGCGTGACCCTGATTTCCACTAGGAGAGATGTTCCCAATGTTTCCTGTTTATTATGCTATCCTGTCAAGTCCCACTTTGTGGGATGACAAATGGGATCAGCACGGCAGTGACCGGAGTCACTGTGGTGAAACATGTCATGGTGATGTGGTCAGCTGTCCATCAGCCTACCTGCCCATGCCAGGGCTTCTATCCTGGTGGGATACCACTGTCACACCAATGAGAACAATCTAAGTTTCTCTAGGACAGGACCCAGAGGCCAGTTCAGCCACTCTCATGTCTTCAATCATACGAGATTCCCATCAACCCTGGTGAACTCAAGAGCCATCAATGGGCTTAAGTGCCTTGCTGAACCAAGGCTTTGAAAGGGGTCAGAAAAAGGGAAGGAGGAGGCAGAACTGAACAAAAAGTAGTTAGAAATCAGTCCAATGAATCAGCTGCAACTTCTGTTGGGTCAGCCTTAGGATATTAAAATTTAGCTATGTTGGATCCCAACCATGAAGGAAGGGGAAAGGGAATTCTAAGAACAATAGCCTCTGGCCCCATAGTATTAACTCTCTCAGAGAGTTTAGTGCCCCTGTGAGAAGCAGGGCTGGTTGTTAGATGAAGGAATATCTCAGCATAAATATTTGGATCACATCTGGAGTTTCTGTAGGACTCACATCTCTGACAGATTTCATGTTGTTCTCTTTTTGCTGGCACTCAGTCGGGTGTAACCAGCTGTGGGCAGAGATGTATCTCTGCTCAGTAGCTACACATGGTACCACTGTCCTCTGGGGAATCTCTTGGCTCTCCAAACCCTTCTGCAATCCCTGTGCCACAGCCCTTTCCCAGTGCCCAAAGTGAAGGGGCATAGAAAAGCCTCCACCCTCCTTGTCCCTTCCTGTGGGTTGCTGAGCTTCCTGTGGGTTCACTCAGTCCTCACCTGATTTCACCAGAAATAATCAGGCCAGCTAAATTTTTCTTTGGCAGCATTCACAGACTGGTGACTGATCTGTGTGATTCTTCTTATTTTACAGTATATTTCTAAGAATGTTTCTGCCACCGAGCACGTGATCCGAAGGGAAACAGAGACAACCTTTTCGGGAAGTCACTCCTGCTCCCCATCCCATCACTGCTCCACAGCCACTCCAACGTCCAGCCAGAGGTGATGTATACCATTTTCCCTGGATCTTTACCTGCTATGTTCCATAGGATGCTGTGAGATTCTAAGATTTTCCTTTCACCTCCCTTTCTGTTTTCACCTGACATTTGGGTCTGTAGTGGCATACAAGCCATGTCTACACTGCAGGACTCTGCAAGCACAGCTGGTTAGTGAGAGGTATGGAAAAGTGTGTTCCTTGGCCTGCAGGGAGATGCCAGCAGGATTCTGTAGCACTGATATAGCTGGAAAACAGGAGGAAATGAACCTGTGCTTCCATGCTTTGCACAGACCCAAACAGGAGGATGTGTGTAGGAAAGGTTTTGTAAGTTGTGTTTGCAGCCACACTGGACATCTGAAATACTTCCTTAAGCACACACAGGTTATGTGTTTCATATTTAGAATGTATTTGCCTTGTGGGGGACAAAGTACACAACATATCACCAAATGTTTTGATTGCTTCCTCAGAGTCAAGCTCTGACTTGGAAGTCACAGGTTTTGATCAGAAAGAAAATGCTCCTGTGCAATTTATCAGCCTCCACCTCAGGTGGTGGCTCCTCTTTCACTGAAAGTCATTCTGAAGCTTTTTGGAAAATTTGGTCTAGCAGGAAAGTACTAATAATGCTTTGTGACATCAGGATGAGACATATTTTTTATTTTCATTTCAAAATAACCACTGGGGGAAGAGTACCACAGCTTGGAACCTGAATCTTCTCAAGGTTTCTCAGAACATTTAAATGGCAGGTGGACCCCTCTATTTTTATGATGTCCAGAAAAGTCTTTCAAATGCTCTAAAGCAAGTCTTATGCTGTTTTGAGTTTGGATGTTCCGGTTGCTCTTAGACAGCTCTTGTGCTTCTTCCAGTAGGTGACAGGGGTTTTCCTTGGAGATCACTTGCCTTTGATATGTGGCTGGCTCATATCCTTCATTAGCCTGATGGGGTTGTCTCCATTCACCCAGGAAGGCAGGAATTCATTCAGCTGAAGCTCACAGATGGCTCCAGGCAGGTTTTCTTAGGGTCCAGGCATTCCTCAGGGTTGAGCAAGTGCTCTCAGTTACAATGGGCAAGATCAACTTCAGATGTTGAACTTGGATTTTCAGGTGAATTCCTCCCCAGATTCCTTGGCTATACCTCCAGCAAGTAGAGAGGGAGCCAGGAATGACTTGATCAGCTGGGAATGATTCTTTTTTCCAGGGAAATCCACTCTTCATGAGCTGGATGATATATTCTCCAGGGTTTTTGCATTCGTACTCTTCAGCCCAGCCCTGGCAAGGTGTGTGCAAGCTTGAGCCAGGTTCACAGAGGCTCCTGTGCCTGCAGAGCTGCACCTTGCTGGCCTTCCATGCTCACTTCAAAGGCCTGGGCCATCCCTGGGCACCTTCTGAAGACACAAAGGTGTGTCTGGAGGGCAGCATTAGCTCATGACAGCTGTAGGGAGGAACCTACCTTGGGTAGCCTCTGGTCCTGGCTACCTGCCACCTCATTTTCCTGAGTCAAGTGCAGTGAGCAGGTGCTTCTTGAAGTCATGCCAGAGGCAGACTACTGGCATAATCAGGCTCCCTTTTACTCCATCAGCGCCTCTAATGAGGACGCTGTTTGAAGTTATAAATGAGCATGTGCCTGGAGCCATCAATAATTAACAAGTTCTTGGGAAATCTTAATGAGGGCTGCTCTCCTCCGTAAACCCCCACCCAAAATCCTCCACCCACACAGCTCCATCTGGTGCGGTTTGGGAGTTCAGAGGGGTTGCTCTCGTGGATCACGTATTTCTGCAGTGGTGGGGGTCAGCATGGTGGCCGTGGCACTGGTGGGACCCCAGTGTGCAGGTGGCCCTGTGCATCCCACTGGGTCCTTCTGGGATGCTCTCTTTGCACCAAGACTGGGGCTGGTGGGGCTGCAGCTGCTCAGCACATCATGGTCTTTGTCTAGCACCTTGGAAGTGTTTTCCTGCCAAAATCTTGGGTAGACTTTGCTCTGCTAATTTCTGAGTGGCTTCTCCTGGCTCCTCTCTGGTAGCAATTCCAAAGGGGCTGTCACTTGGCAGTGCAGGTGGCACATTTGAAGGAACTTGGCTGACTTGCCTTGGCAAAGCCAATCTGTTATTCCACACCCAGAACACTTTGCAAGCACAAAGCAGAATTGCCCTGGCCTCCCTCCAGAGGCTGTCCCATCCTGCTCCCAGGCATTTATTCCGTGGTGGGATAAATACCTGCTATTGCACTGGTTTACTTCCTTTGTCCTCTAATGACATCTCCAAGAAAGAGCAAAGAAAGTCAAATCAAAGGTAGGGTTGGGAATCTGGGCTTCTCTGGCCAGATGTATCCTAATGAGAGAGAGAGAAGGGGGACAGCAGTGCAGAGGAGCAGAGCTGAGCACGAGCAGTGCCTGTGTCTTTGGAGAAGAGCTGGGTGGGGGTTCCTTGCTCACTGTCCACATGGGCTTTGCTCCACAGACATGAAAGCCACACCTGGAGCTTGGAGCGAACAGAGAGCCTGACTTCAGATTCCCAGTCTGGGATAATGCTGTCCTCGGTGGGAACCAGTAAATGCAACAGCCCTGCGTGCGTGGAGGCGCGGGCGCGCCGCGGGGCCACCTTCTGCATCGAGGACCAGCGGAGGCCCACGACGCAGTACCGCGACTCGGTGGATTCCCTGCGGGACTCGCCCCACAGCGAGAGGTCAGAGCCCGCTGCTTGGTGCCAGCACAGCACAGCAGAGGCAAGCCATGCCTCTGTGCCAAGCCCAGAAATGTTTGCCTTTGCCAGATCTAGAGAGGCAGTGCCATGGTAGAATTGGGAAACTCCAGCCCTGGTCCTTACCAGAGGAAGCCCAATTCCCCCAGGAGGCCACTCAGGTCAGGGCAGCAGCCAGCTCTGCACCGTGGTGGCAATGTAGGTTTGGAGCACAGGGATGACAGCTGTGGAATATGCCTGGCTGCAGTCAGCAATTGGTAGAAAAAAACTGGCTGGGAGAGCACCCTGGGCAGCTTGGTGGGCTGCCAAGCAGGGTCTGGCCCTCAGGTGCTTGGGGAAAATGTGTCTGTCCTCAGTGCAGTCCTGGATGTCCAGGTGAGAGTGTGCTGCACGTGGGCACAGTCCTGGGACAGGACTCGGTAAGACCCAGCCTTCAAGGAGCACAACTGCAGAGCTGAGACACCACCAGCAGCAGTAGCAGTTCTTCTCTTCCCAGTCTGGTTCCTCATGGACCAGAAGCACCTCTTCACCTTTGTTTGAGCCCTTTGCAGGTAGCCATGAGTGACTCTTGGTGGCCATGTGGCCCCTCTTGGGCAGTTACCCTTCAAGGCAGTGGAACTTGTCCATGGGGCAGAGGAGAAAGGCAGCATCTCCTGCTCTCATTCCTGTCTCTGGTCCATTCAGGCAGACTGACCCAGCTCCTATGGAGATCTCATGCATCACAAAACACATGAGTAAAAAGACCCTGGATGAGTGAGAGAGCCTGGGCAGGTGGAATTGGACAGAGACACCACTGGGAATATCACAGTGAAATAAGATCTGCTCCTTAGAAGGAGATGGTGCTGAAGAAAGCGTTGTTTGGAGAGGAGCTAGACCAGACCTGAGTGACCACACTGATGTTTTCACTAGAGTAGATGAAAGTGGTAGATGGCTTTTTGAGACACGAGGTTTTTGCTAAGTCGAAGAAAGCAATGCCCAGGTTTTCCCCATCTGTGGCCTGGGCAGGGAGAGGGAATTCCAGGGACCTTCCTCAGAGACAAGCCTGGCAGCTCCAGAGGGAACAGAAAGCAGCTGTCAGGCAGATGAGAGACAGTGAAGCCATGACTCAGCCTGCTGGGAGATGCTGCAGGGTTCGCAGCAATGCGGAGTGGGAATTGTGCACCGAGTCCCCTGGGAGAAGTAGTCTGGGAGATGCTCAGCACATGCTGCCCATTGAAGCCAGCAGCTCACCCTCCCTTGGCACAGCAGTACAAGGTTCCTCCAGCTGATTCCCCAGGAGAACCTCCAGGAGCAGGTTCCCTGGAGGCCTCATGGGTCCCTGGGCCAGTTGTTCAGCAAAGCGCGGGCTCAGCTGGTGATTTCGGGGTTGTTCGGTGTCCAAACAGAGGTGTTGCTTTTCCAGGTACGTGTCGGCCCTAACCACACCAGCACGGCTGTCGCCTGTTGACTTCCACTACTCGATGGCCACGCAGGTGCCCACCTTCGAGATCACCTCCCCGAACTCGGCGCACGCCGTGTCCCTGCCGCCGGCGGCCCCCATCAGCTTCCGCGTGGAGGAGCAGCAGCCCCTCCTGCGGCGGTACCAGCTCCCCTTCCAGGACACGCAGAGGTACGACAGCTACTACCAAAGGAAGACCTACCTAAATGACAGCATGGGGAGCCTGCCCTCCAGCCCCTTCCGCATCACAGAGGACGACGAGTACGAGACGACGCAGGAGTACATCACAGCGCTAGAGCAGCCAAAGAAAACAGCCAGCAGCAACAGGCGGTGGAAAAAATCCAAACTGAACGGGCACATCCCTCACAGAGCCAGAGCCGTCCGGGACTCCTTCTCCTTGAGCAGCGCCTCTTACAGCGAGTCTGACGAGGAGCTGGTGGCCGAGAGCACCCCGTTCCTAAGCACTCAGAACAATGAGGCGGCGCACACAGAGTCGCCGCCGCTGCACCGGCCGGGCGACAGCCGGACTCACTACTCGTGCCGCGGGCACGTGGCGCACGGCGACGGCGGCCGCGGCAGCCTGGCGCACGTGGCGCCCAAAGCGGACCCCAACCCTCTCTAGGCGCCTCCCGCGCTCCTGCATGGGTGACCCGCATGGAGGAGGCCGAGAGGAGGGGGGCCGAGGCGAGACAAAACCACACAAACCGCAAAACGAGACAAAACAAAAATAAATATTTTTATTTTATATAAAAGAGGGAAAAACAAAAAATATAACAAATAAAAATGTTTTATTTTCATTTTAGCAAAGTTGTCTTATAATAGCTAACGACAATGACTTTTTTATAGGGAATCTCTATTTATATGTAATGTCTTGATTTACAGCTTCCGAGAAAAAAAACTAAAAAAAAAAAAAAAAGAAGAAGAAAAGAAAACAAACAATAAAGTTAAAAAAAAAGTGGGCCAATTTTTGACTACTTAAAAATAGAAAACAAAACTATCGTGGTGCCTTTTGCTGTATGCTAGTGCTGGGATTCATGCCGAGGATTCTGTTTCAGTAGCATTTTTAAGGTCATAGATTTTTGTTTGGGAGACAACCTGTCACAAGGGCGCTCTTCTGTTGGAAGAAAACAGCCTTGTCACTTTGCCCCGTACCCTGCTATTAATGATCTTATTCTTTAAAGTATTGTTTAAACACACATTAAGGACATGAGTGGGAGCATTTCCATTATCATGTCTAACGAGGATCTGTCTTGCCCTGTAAACTACTTGTATTTTTGCTTAAATCAGGAGAAAAAGAAACCCAACAGCACTGTGCTGAAATGCAGAAATAACTTTTCTTTTGCCACACAGGAAGGAAGAGAAAATGAAATTGCGCAGCAGCAGCAGCCCTTACAATATAGCTCTCAACCTTTGGCCATCTCACCGGTGGGTCTGGAGTGGGGTTGGCACAGGTTTGTAGTGAGGCCAGGCAGACACCCCTGTGCCCATGGTGGATCACACCCGTCACGTACCCTTGAATCCGGGTCGCTGAGCCAGCCCTGTTCAGCCGCGGTGCCCGAGGCCTCGTGGCCGCCCCAGCGCCGTGCTGGCCGCGGTGTCCCCTCGGCTGAGCGGTGCAGCCGCCGTGCGGCGTTGGCCATGGCCGGAGCTGTGGTGTCCTGCGTGACACCCTTGGCCGGGGTGCCGGGGGACACCCACAGGGTGGTCCCATGGCGCAGAGGCCGCGTGTCACCCTGGACACGGAGCCAGGCGGTCGCCAGCCGTGCTGGCCCAGGGGTTGGAAGGACCGCGAGCGCTTCGGGCTCTGCTCATGGCCGCTGCCTTGGCCGGGCAGGGCCCTGCGCGGGCGGCCCAGCGAGCGGATTCTCCCGTACGGCCGTGCCACGTGTTGTAAAGACAGTTGTTACCGTCACGTCCCGCCATCGATGACGGACGTCGCGTCCCCAAACTCGGAGCAGCTCTGGCCATCGGCTCTGTGGCGCAAAGAGACAGTCCTGCGTGTCCAGGCGGCAGAGCATCCCCCGTGGAAGTGCCCCCCTCTCCTCAGTTCTCTGCAGCAAACCTGTTTACATTGTAGCCTGACTTTTTTCTTTTTATATTTTTACTTCTGCATGTCCTTTGCATTTCAGATACTGTAGATTGGATGCATGGTGAAGCTGTGACTGAGAAGATAATACAACAATTGACAGTGTATTATTTCATTTAACTTTTAGCAATAAAGTAACTAAACCCTCTATTCCTCACCCATGATGGGGTCAGATAGAAAACTCTGCTAATTTGTCATAAGATGATTGTCAAAGTTTGCTCTGGATTGTCTGAATGTCAGAACTCTTGACTGTTTAACACTTGAACATTTTTTATATTATAAATAAAATAAGAAATAACAAGCTGTGGGCTGAATTAATCTCAGGCCCTTTGGGGGGGTAAATGGGGAGCTGTGACAGGAACCATACACAGAATCACAGACTGGTTGAGGCTGGAAGGGACTTCTTCCACATTTCCTGCTCCACCAGCTCACCCAGAGTCAGCTACCCAGGCCTGTGTCCAGTCAGGGTTTGAGTAACTTCAGGGATGGCAGTACCACTACTTTTTGGGTAACCTCTGCCAGTGTTTGGTCCCTCTCAAAGCAAAAATTTGTCTTCTTGTATTCAAACTGGAATTTCTTATCTTAAAGTTTGCATACAGATTTATACTGTGTAGGCCTTCTATCAAATCCTGAAAACTCTCCAAATCCATTTCCCATACAAACTGGATTTACTAGTTTTTAATTTGGGCCCTTTGCCTCATTTACTGTTTTAGGCCCATTGCCTCGTGTCCTGGACACTGCTGAGAAGAGTCCAGCTCCCTCTTTTTCACTGTCATCCATTGGGTATTTATACACATGGATGAGGTCCCCCTGAGCCTTCTCCTCTCCAGGCTGGACAGCTCCAACTCCCTCATCCTTTCCTCATATGAGAGATGCTCTGGTTCAGTAAAGATCTTTATGCCCATAAAGACACATAGGTGGGTGTTTTTCTACCTGGCATGGACATTTGACCTTTCCTTCAGGGCTGAGGAATGGAGGCTCACTGAGGTGAGTGAATGCTACCCACACGTCTCCCAGGGGTGCCATTCCTCCTCCAACTGCAGTTCAGGAGAACCCCCTTCACTTGAACCATGGAAGTTTCCTGATGTGCCTAGATAGGTCAGGGTGCTTGGCATGTGCTGTCACCTGGCACCTCTTTCAGTGACTTCAGTAGAGTGGAGATGTGTTGGGTCCAACCCTGCAGTGCCATGCTGCCATGCAGCACTGACCCACGCACAAAACAGGTCCCTTGTCCAGCTTCTCCATGGGAAATCCGTGTCTCTGGCTATCCCCGTGCAGGGACTCACTGACAATGTGGTGTGGTCACAAGAGCACAGTCCCTGAGGTGGCAGCCATGGCTCCACCCAGATCAGAACTCGCTCCCCTCTTCCTGCTCAGCGATGTGAACAGGTATCCAAAAGCCCCAGTTGAACTCACTTAACAGGAGAGGGATCTGTTACAGTGAGTTGACCCTATTGAAATGGATAGGTTGGAACTAACTGATCTGGTTGGAACTAGATGATTTTTAGTGCCCCTTCCAACCCAAATAATTCCATGACTCTATGAATGCCCAGAGCTGTGAGAGAACTCCCCAGCCCTCACAGTGCTGCCCATGCTGGAGGCCAGGCTAAGCACACCCACAGCCTGGGCTTCTCTGCTCCAGCTGCCCCAGGATGCCCATTGTCCTGGACCTGACCCAGCTGTGTCACAGGCCACCCCAAACATTCACTGCATGTCCTGTGGGGCCTCCAGACAGACCAGAGGGCTCAGCACTCCTCCCTGAATAAAGGCATCTCAACACTGGTTTCCCAGAAGGTTAAAGGCTGAAGGACCCTGCCCTCCTGCCACAAGGCCCATGTCACCCGACAGCAATGTGCAAAGGAGGTGTTGGACCTGGGATAAAGGTGGTAGGGTCAAGTCCTGGTTTGGGTGACATCTGCCTTGGACACATCGTGCCCCACTTGTGTGCAGCCCCAGGCCTTGCTGGGTGAAGGCAGCAGTGCAGCTCTTCACTCTCCGTTACTCCTGGGACATGCCCCAGCTCCCCATTGCCTTTGATCCATCTCAGCTCCTCCAGTGGCTCCCAGAGCAAGGTGAGATGGACAGGAATGGGCAGAGAACACCAACCCCTTGGAAGGGACATGTGTAGATGATCACCAAGGCTGATCTCTGGGGAAACCAGACACATGGAAGAGAGAGATCGGGTGCCTTTGGCTTCCCAGAGCAGCTCCATCTCCCTGGCTCTCCTCAGGATCTGTGAGCTCCACTCGTGGAGAAGTCCCCCCAAGGCTGGCACAGCAGCATCTGCATTACAAGAAGGTACAGCTCATGGGTCTCCCTGCATGCAGAACAACCGTGTGGCCACATCTCAATGCAGCTGATCCCCACCAGGAATCTCTCTGGGTCCCCTGGAGAGGAGCTGTGGGTTTGCCCTGCACAGGGGGATATTTCCCTGCTCCATGGTTTGCAGGGATCCCTGATCTGCATCTACTGAGACACCTCTAGGTCTGAGCTATGGCAGCCTCAGGATTCTTTGTGGTGATTTTTTTGTTAAACATGCCCCTTGATTCCCATAATTGTGTTCTATATTTAGAGGCAGTTACGCTACTTCAATTTTCTCTCCAATTGCCTCTGAAGGAAGCCTGTATCTCTCTCTTTTTTCCCTGGCTGGTTTATTTTTAGACTCCTCATTTCCAGCCGTGCGTGCTCCTAGGGTTTTGCCGTAAATATTTTAGAGCAATTTTCACAGGTGGGGGAGCCACCAGAGCCTCTTGACAGCTCTACTCTGCATGTATGGTGCCTTTAGTGCCCTTCTCAGAGGGAAAGGAGTTGCTCTGCTGACACAGATGGGTGGCACAAGCAGGAGACGAGTGTTGGATCCTGGCTTTGGGGTCACAAAGGCTCCCCCACAAAGAACTCCCTCTAAAATGAATGTGATTGTGTCCAGGACAAGAGGCCTGGCAGGGAGGTCAGGCTGAACCACTGCTGCCAAGTGAGGTTGTGTGAGACCCAAAGCAGTCGTGGTGTCTGCTGGAGGGGCTGGCACAAGCTGGGGATGTGCAGAAAGTGCTCTGAGTAACTTCAGGAGGAGAAAAGGATGTGGCTGCCTAATTCCTCTGAGATGCTGCTCTTCTCTCTTAGCGATGGGTGCCTGAGTCCTGGACCTCCAGGGAGGGAGAAAAGGGATTATAAAACCCATTTTCTTCCAAGTCACAAGTGGAGGCTGTGGATTGGTCAAACAAGGCATTTTTGGCTCTGCTCTCATGTAGGTAAGATGCTCTCAACACATTTTCACGTGCCTGTGCACCTGGATCAGGACTAGTGCACAAGGCAAACTGCAGATACTCAGCAAGAGTAAGTTCAATACTCTGAACTGTCTCACCAAGTGTTGTCTGACATCAGCTGCCACCCCTTCCCACATCCACTGGTGTTCAGTCTTAGGGTTCTGAGTCTCTTTCCTCCTGCCCAGAGGGGACTTCGCAGATCATTCTTTTCTCTGCAAGTTACTCCCAGCTGAGGATGGCAGACTGGCACCTTCAGCCAGGGGGCTGAGATGTTCTTGGTGGCAGCTCAAACACACTGGAGATGTCACTGCCTGCTGGAAGGGATGGTCAGAAAGGGAAGACTGAAATACAAAATATTACCTGGGATTTTAGAGACATGAGTTTGGCCCAGCTTTTCCTTGGACTTCCATTGTGAGAGTCTCAGCATCAGACACTTCATGTGAGTAGGAACATCTTGGAGGTCTTCAGTGCAAGGAATGTCTGTACAATACCTGACACAAAAGCAACGATGCCTTGGAAGAACAGCCACAGGCTCCTCTGGAACCGTTGTGAGAATATTTCCAGTCACAATGCAGGGCTTGGTACCTTTCTGCTCCCATGAATGTCTAGGCTGTATGTGGACAGACACACCTGGGATGCACCAGGTGAAAGGAAGAGTTACTTGAACGTGCTCCTGAAGCAGCCCATCTATCCACACCTGCTCCAGAACCATCCAAGAGGATGGGTAGGCTGGTACCCACAATGTTTTCTGGTGCTGTCTGTCCATAGGATCCTGGATTTTCTGCATCAAGTGCTGGTGCATATCTGAATCAGCCTGGCCTTCTGGTGCTGTGAAATCTGGGATCAATCCAGCACATGGTGGAACGATGCTTCAGACCAATTCTCTTTACCAACAGATTCAGTTTTATTGTTATTCTTTCTTTTACATGATTCTTAGTGCATCATTTCAAATAAACTATCAAACTGTACAAAGAAACAGAGATAAAAGAAGAGGCAAAAAAGTTGAGAAGAAGTTTTTAGTGTCATGAACTGTCATGGAAAATAGTAGTCCATAGGCTTTCAAACATTGAAGGTCCAAATAAATCTTATTTTGTTTGTTTAAAAAATGCTGCAAAATATAAACAATAAATGACTGTAATTAGCAGCTACAAGATCCTTCAAAACTGGAACTTGATTACTGTGAACTCACCTAGGGGAAAGAAAAGCAATCTGAGATAAAGGATCAAACGAAACAGTGAAATAAATAAAGTGTGGGAGGACAGTCGTGGCATTGAAATGCAGAGGAATCACTTCAGCACAACAGTAAATCATTGGACCACAGACAGCAGAAAGGAAGAGAAACACAATTCCCACTTAAAAGAGTACAGCATGTGCATCGCAGGATGGAGGATACAGCAGGGACGGGCAGTGGGATCACTCCTGCACACAAGGCACGGCTCCAGCTGTGCCTCGAACCCAGAGTGGTGGCTCCCATGGCTGCCAAACCAGCAGCCACCTGGGCAGTTTGTCTGAATAAGCAGGAATGGGAGAGCGATGTTTCACAGCAAAGCCAGGTGGGATTTCCATTCGAGTAAAAAAAGAAGAAAAAGAAACAAAAAAAGATACACAGCCATTCAATTTTTTTAGAACGTCCTGGTGGGCTGGTCAGACCCTCCACGTCCCTAGTGTGTTCCCCAGGCAGCTTGCCTTCACTTGCACACTGAGGTTAAAAACCCAGGTTAAAGTTTCCTTATATATATATATTTATTTATATATATTCATATGTATATATATATATATATAAAAAGGGTAAGGTGACAGAGGGCCCTTCAGGCTTCTCCTGCCATGGGCAGGTGACATTCCCATGTTGCCGTGCTGAAGACGCCTCTCACCCGCTCGGTGACCAGCTCACGACGCCTGTCCTGTCACATCGTGCTCCTCCTGGGGCAGGGACGTGTCCCCACCACCCTGTGCCCTTCTCTGGGAGCGCTGGTGGTGCCACAGACGTTGTCTTGGCTCAGTTTCCTGCATTGCCAGGGACTGTGACCATGAACCGCTGGGGACTCCAGGGAGGGAAGGAGAGAGCCAGGGCTGGTGGAGGAAAGAGCGACCCAGCCCTTGGAGAACCAGCATATCCCTTTGTTGTGCAGGCTGCAGCAGGAGGGAAAGAAAAGCCACTGGTGCAGTTGGGAATGAAGAAGAGATGATGCTGAAATGCCAGAGCATTGTCAGAGAGTGTCAACTAAAGCTTCTTTGATTTCTTTCACTAGAGCAATCCCCATGTCATACATGTCTACGGTTTTGCTCATATAATTTCCTAAGTAAAATTGTGCTCATCAATCTAAGTCCAGGAGCGCAGAGCATTGCCGGTTCATCCCCCCGTGCACATGTTCCTTGTTAAGTGTTCTGCTCTAAAATGTCCTTTTCTGCCTTACAGCTGATGGACATGTGCCCTTGGCTCAGGGAAGGGCTGGAATGTGTCTTCCGCAAAGCCATGTCGTCGGCTTCCACCTTGAAGAAACTGGTCTCGATCCTCTCCAGGTCATCCGTCCCCACTTTTATCTTCATGCACAGCAGGTTGATGTACGTTTCATAGCGGCTCTTCTGCAGGGAAAGAGGGAACAGAGAGCCTGGGAACAGGGACAGGCCATGGTGTGTGCGGCACGCAGAAACAATTCCATCAGCTACGGCAGGAAAACCCATCCTATACCATCAGCATCCCACCAGTCATACCCCACACATTTAACCCCAGCACAATGCCTGGTCTGTGCACAGACTGATTGGTCAAAGGTCTGAGGAGAAAGGTGGGTCTGGGTGTGGGTCTGTGTAGCACTCTCCAGTTGCTTTTACAGGTCTTGGCTGCCACTGTGATTGTATAAGGAGGATACTGGGGGCAAAATAAGATCAACTGACCTGCTGCTTCTTGATTTAGGAGCTCACCTTGATTGGTTGAAATAATTCTGCTTGTCATTGTTTCCATCCAGTGGTTCAGTTATTGCTGCTGGGTTGTGCCCCCAATGCTCCTCACAGAGCACAGGATAAAGGGAGGCAGCCTCTGTGTTCCAATGCTAGATGGGATCTTTTGAGGACTTGTGTAATACCCATCCTTTCTCCCAACATCTCAGAGGCAGCCTGTGCTGGCTTCTTTGTCAGCACAAAGAAACAAGCATTTCTAGAGCATGTCTCATAAGACAGATGAGATGAATTATGCCCTGGAAGTGCCAGCTTCTCCTTGAAGACTGAAAAGGCAGTCCAGAGAAAAGCTCAGATAGAGACTTCTCTGCAGGCATCCAAAACCAGATGCAGGAAAAAAGGGAGGCAGCAGCAACTATTTGGAAAGTTGGTACAAAGACAACAGCAGCTAGGAGCTGTAGCTTTGAAGAATTGGACTGGGTGTTACACAAAAGGCTGGTGCAGCCCTGGCTTGAGGGAGGTGGAATATTTCCATCCTTAGTGATTTTTGGGGTTCAGCCACTAAATGGCACAATGAGTCTGGGCTAAGACTAGGAACAATCCAAATTCCTACTGGAAGCAAGACTAGAGGCCTCCAGCAGTCCCTTCCCACTAACACCCATATGACAAGAACCACACCTTCTGCTAAACTCTCACTGGAACCAAATCCCCATTTCTCCCACAATTAAATGCTTCTTAGATCTTTACAGGGAGTTAAAACTTATGTACATGCATCCTCAAACAGTCTGTAATCAGCTGTAACACTGGGTTTGGCTTTATTTACAAAAATGGTTGCAGCAAAACAGGATTAATTCTCACAGGGATTCCCTTTGCTTTTTATTGATATTGCTGAAAAGGACTGAGTCACACTGAGAACTGAACCACTCTTGTACTTGGGACTGGAGGAAATGTCAAAATTTGGCACAGTAAAGGAAGACTTTCTTTCTCTTGTCAGTTTTCCCCCTCCTCTGGTTAGAAATCACAGAGGGAAAGAAATGGCTCTTATTTCTTTTTTCAGCTTCAGTGCAAAACAGTGAGGCTTGTTGCTGCCCCAAGACACCCATCCAGCTTGGGAGCCCTTGTCCTTCTCTCTCCTTTCACGCTCTCCCACACCCACAGCACCCACTCTGGAGTTCTGTTCTCCTCCATCAGCCAAGGTACCATTTATCACAGAAAAGATGAAAGTTCCTTTACCTCAAATATTAGGTAATGTTCTTTGAGTCTGTATTCCTCAGCCTCTTTTGACTTGAGGCTCTTCTCTACAGGATGTAATTTATGCTCTGCTAATTCGTCTGCAATCTGCTTCATTTTATTTTCATGAGACCTCAGCTGTTCCTCCTGCCGAGAGAAGCGTGTCAGGTATTAAAACGTGGGAGTGCAGCACCCGAGTGCTCCGCCTGCCTGTGGCTGGGGGAAATCTCTCTGCAGGGGCGGGAGTTCAGCTACTCTGCTGGAGCCAAAGGTGCGTTGTGCACTTGCAAATTCATCTGATAAGGAGCAGCTCAAACACAGGTATTGGAGTAAGAGCAAAATTCAGGTACCTCAAGTGCCAAAAGTGGATTTCTTTGGCATCGAGGAATCTTTGGCATCATATGCACAAAATGCTCCTGTAACAGGCATCCTGTAACAGCCAGGCAGAAGCAGTGCTGTCCCAAGAGCTGCTCATCCTGCTCTTTTCAGAGATAGAAGTACCCTCCCCAACTGGGCTCAGCCAAACGTGACCATCTGGCCACATCTGTCTCAACAGACAGCAGCTGTGTCTCTGCCCTGACATTTCAGGCTGCCTCCCCTTTGCTGGGGACAGTGGCAGTGTGTTCCTACTTTTTGGAAGTCCTAAGGCATGTTGGGCCCTCCCTGGAAAGGGAAACAAAAGCTGCTCTTTGGATGACAGCTGCTCTTGGTTAGCTGAGCCTGGTGCACCCTGCCCCCTTGTTTCCAAAACCTTCCCTACTGACTGGAACTCAGATATCCCTTTTGTCTGTGGGTTTTGAGCTCCAGAAACGAGAGGGTGCCATGATATAAACCAAACCTGGGCTGCTGGGCTCTGCAGCATCAACTCGAGCTATTCTGCTGTTTCTGCTCTGGCAACAGGAAGGTGCTAGGATGTGATGGGCAAAAAACAATAGACAAGCCAGAACCAACAGGCAGGTGTGTGCACAGGGCTGTTTATAGCCATTGCAAAAGGAGCACTAGCCAGATGCCAGGATTTCCCACATCTGTCCAAGCTGCCCACTCCACTCCCCTGTTCATGCACTGAGCACTGAGTGTGTCCATCAGGCAGGAACAGGGGGAACTGCAGATGGGCTCACCCTCGGCTGAAGGACTTGCTGAGCACTGGGCACCCCTCCACCACTCCTTCTCTCACACATTACCTGGCACAGCTTGGTCATGGATGAAGGCAGGAGCGGGCGGCAGAACTTCTTCATGGAGCAGATCGCAGCTGGGAAGGCTGGAGCAGAGAAGATGGCAGCAACAAGGTTGATCCGCAGGATCCAGGAGAGCATTTCTTCCTTACTTCTGTTGTGGAGGAGGGGAGAAGAGAAGGGAGTCTGCAAATGCTCTTGAAGCAGGACCAGACAACAGCTGACAGCAGCCCTAGAGCCACCCATGCTCAGGAAGGCCACCAGTGGCCTTGCTTTGATGCCACTTCTGTGCCAGGTTATGGACAGAGGGAAGCACTGTCTAATTGGCTCCTCCACGGTGCCCTGATGATTTCTGCTGTCTGCCTCTCGAAGCCAGGGCAGTCCTGCCCTCCTCATCAGCTCTGGTTATATTTCTAAGGAGCCATGGAGAGGCCAGGGCCAAGGATGTCCTGCTCATAGCAGAGTGAGAGCCACACAGCAGAGCAGGATGTCATTTATGTCGTTTGTGAGACACTGCCCAGGGTCTCCAATGTTTCCTTCATCAAATCTGTCCAGACACTGCTCCCCAAGCCTTCAAGTGGGTGTTTGCTGCACTAATTCAGATGAGAAGCTTTAGCTTGACATTAGTACCCCAGCCCTACAGACACTGTCACCTCTCTTAGCAGAAGACATGAAAAACATGAAACAGAAGATGACTTCATCACACTTGACACTTACTAACACCATAACATTCCTCAGCAATGGACTCAGGTAAAACATCTATCGGAGCTGGGGAGACTGCTTTAAGGAGGTTTAGACAGTTTCCCCATCAAAAGCTGACAAGCTCCCCATCATCACCTGCACCACACAGATGTTCTCCCTTCCAGAACACACTAACAGAAGTTAGCAAGAGGAGCCCTTTCACTCAGCCCTGCACATCCCAGCCCATCCTGCTCAGCCTGCCTTGGTGACAGCTGGGAAGGACCTCAATGATTGGCACAAAGCTACCAAGAAACTGTGACCTAAGAGCAAATCCTTTGCACAGCCCTGCAGAAATGACCCTCAGCCCCTTCCTCCCCCCAGGCGTGCCCCTAATGCGTGTGCTGGTCTGGCCGGGTCAGAGGGGGCCTGGCAGTGGTGGGAGGTCAGACTGCCCACCCAGCACTTGGGGAGGGCTGGGACTCACGGGGCCTGGAAGAGGAAGACTCTCCAGTCAGCTGTCTTCAGCTTGAGCACGTTGGACTTCTTGCTGTAGTCAGAGGCTTTTGTGGCTAAGGCGTGGTGCACACGGATGGCGTTTTTCAGATCCACTTCAGAGAGGTCTTTGTCAGGTTTATATTCATCCTGTGAAGAGGAACGTTAATTGGATAATGACAACACTAACATTTGCAGGATGCTTTAATGAACCTGCCTTTCTCCCCGCGCTATAATCACAGAGTGCCGAGACCAGGAAAAGCACTGCTTTGTACAGTAAATGCTAGGAGCTGATAATGATAATAATTAACATCTGGCAACTGCTTCCATCATTAAGTTCACTGGGAAGATGTAAAGAAGGAGATGAAAGTTTTAAACATAATTATCAATAGTTATTTCTAACACAGCACATGCCTGAGGCTTTGTGGGGAGGCACAAGGCAGGGCCAGGTTTCTGCAGAGCTTCCCCCACAGTGCAGAGCTCAAACCAGGATGCAACTTCCAATCAGCAGAGGATATCAACGAGCACCTGCTCTGGTGCTGCTTCTTCATAGACTTAAAGAAAGGTTTGGGCTGGAGAGGACCTAAAATCTCATCCCATTCCAACCCCCTGCCATGGGCAGGGACATCTTCCACTATACCAAGCTGTTCCAAGCCCCATCCAGCCTGGCCTTGGACACTTCCAGGGATGGGGCAGCCACAGCTTCTCTGGGCAGCCTTTGCCAGGGCCTCAATACTGTCACAGGAAAGAATTTTTTCCTTCTATCTACCTAGATTTCCTCTCTTTCAGTTTAAACCCTTTGCTCCTTGTTCTCTCACTACAGCTGTGTGTGGAGGAAGGTACCCTGGAGCAGCAGCATCCCTGCAGCCTGTGCATCTCTGTACAGGTGAGGGCCTGATGGGCAGTTGCCAGTCTGAGTGTGGCCCCCTGAAACAGGTTTGGTCTCCCTTTAGTACAGGTGCTCCTTTGGCATGGTCTCCCCTGCAATCCATTAGATTTGCACTTGCAAATTGCATTCCCTGTACTCCTGCTTTACTTTCTCCACTGAAGGACAACTTCACACAAGTAGGGAATGTAGCAGTAATTATATGTGTTTATATTTTATAAAAAGGTAGAAAATACCAAACATGGGACCCTGAAATGATGATCTTGGCACAGCACTTTTTAGAAAAAACAGTTCAGTCAATCCTATGTTTACCCTTTTACTTTCCCAGTGACTTAATGCAGTACCCTGCCTCCCACTCTGCACCCTTGCAGCAGACAGCTCAGCCAGTCGGATGATGGGATGGCAAGGATGGACAGATGGATGCATGGATAGGTGAAAAAAGAACCTCCTGGAAGAACCTGGCCCTGGCTAAAGCAAACCACCACCCCAGCCACGTTAGAGGCCATGCCAGGGTGTCCCTGGAAGGCCCTGCCTTGCCCTGTGATTCCAGTGCTGCAGGATTAATGTGCTCACAGCCAAGGGCAAATATGGTTTTGCTTTCCTTGACTGCCCTGGGCTGTCAGCACCAGGGCAGGTCTGTCTGGTGATGATGGTCTATACATCCCAAGCTTTCCTTAGCTTCCAAGCCAGAATTGTTCTGCAGATTTACAAAAAGATGATTGTTTCCCATGTCCCAGTGGTACACATGCAGCTGTTCAGGGAAAAGCTGTGCTGCACCCCTGGGATGGGAACCCTGGGCAGTGAGGCTGTTCTCTGCTCTAGGGGCAGAAAGGTTTCCCCTCTGCTGCTCTTGACAGCACTGAGGACCAGCACTCCCCAGCCCATGGATGTGGCTCACCCAGCTCTTGCTCCTGATGCTTCTGAGGTCTTTCTTCCCTCATTTTTTCCAAGCAATCATCCTGTCCAGCTGCCATACTGTGCTCATCATCATATGAAACTTGGCCTGGTACAAAAAAATGCCACGGGCCCACCCACAAATGTCTGGCACAGGATCCTGGGGATGGTGAATCCCAAAGAAAAGCCCTGGCTTTCCAGCAGAGGAAGGCTGGGTGCTGCAGGCATCCTGTGTTTGGGGAGACACGCAGGTGGGCAGTACAGATGACCTTGCCACCGTGGTGATTTCAGTAGCCAGAGAGATGGGCCTTTTTTTGCAAAGAAAAACAAATGCTTTGCCTTGTGAAGACCTACTGTGTTAGCCCCCTGTAAGAGAAATATTTGCTTGAGGAAGACATTGCTGCTTGGGCCTTAGGTATTATAGAGAGGCTTCAATTTGGGATATTTTTCCGAGGCTGAAGTTCTCTGGATTTGAATAAATCTGACTGTGCTGTCCATGATCTCTTATTTCAAAATAAGCTTTCTGAAAATACAGTGCAAAATATCCCAGCTTAATGGTGTGTGACAAGAGGAAGCCGCCACAGCTGCTGAGTGCTTTGACTAATGCAGATCCTCATCTTGAATGGAATCATCAATTGCCTCCATGGATTTCAGGCTCTCAGGCATCAATGTTGGCATGAAGAAAAATCCAATCTTCTTTTTCTAATGCTGGGTCCAGTAAATCAAGGTGAGGCTGAACGAAGCTTGTTCTCTCTTCCTTCTGCCTTGCTGTTTGCAGGAATGAGCGGTGCAGGAGGCTCCCTGCTTGGGATGGCTCTCCCAGAAGGCTCATCCCAATGCCAAGGTGGTCACAATGGCACATTTGGCTGATAATTCTGGGAGAACCTTGTGCCTTTGGGTCACTGTCCCCTGCTGTCTACCCCTGTGAGCAGATCCATAACTAATCTCAAAGCTTGTTTTGCCAAGAAAAGGGAAAATCTCTTGTGCCTGCCTTTGTAGGGCACCTGGATGGGGTGGCAGAGCCCGGTGTACCAGCTCTGCTGCCCTCTCCTCTGGCCTCAGAACCAGCCTGGGCAGTGCTGGGAATGTGGATGTGGACCGACAGATACTCCTCATGCTCTGGCTTGTGAGTGGCTTTTCCTCTTCTTTCTTTTCTTCCCCTCACATCTACCATCCTAAACAAACCATTTAATCAGGAAAATGAACCCCTGTGCCCTTTTCAGCCTAGGCAAGACCTTGGCCTTCCCCAGAGCACCTGGCAAGGGTCTGCCTGCATGGGACAGCACCTGTGGCTCAGGGCTGTGCTGGGAACCCCCTCCTGGCTGGGGACAGAGCCTGTGGGAAGACCTGCACCCTTTCAAGCACTTCTGTATAAAAGCACCTCATGCTTTATAGCTCTCCACCATTTTTCTTAACCCCCCTCTATGTGTGGTGATTAAGGGTTATTATCCCCATTTCAGAGAGGTGAAGTAAGTTGCCAAAGGCCATGGAGTGAGTCAGTGCCCAGAGCAGATTAGTGCACAGGAGAGGTGTGCCCTGCTCCCAAGCCTGCATTTCTTCCTCCAGACTCTGCTGCATCCCTTTAGGGGATCAAGCAATTGCTTCAGCAGACTGTGCTGGAACATGCTGATCCAGCAATTAACACCAGGGAGTCAATGACATGTGACATCTCATCAGCAGCAGGCTTGTGGCTGCTGCCTGAATCGCTTCTGTCAGATTGATTCTACCTGTCCACCCACCCTTCTGCCTGTGTTATGTCCACCTCTCTCTGTATCTGGCCATTCCTCCTTTCTATACACCCACATGCCCAGCCCCTCCTTCTTCCCACCTTCCCTCTACCTCTCAGTCTTATTTATACTCAACTTGCTCCTCAAAACCAAATGGAGTTCCCTGTTCAACTTACGTGAATTTACTATTAAAGCCTAGATCCTTAATTTAGTCTGAGCAGAAGAGTGGAGCAGGCTGAACCTGTGCTCCATGACATCACGTGCTTCTGGAAGTCCTTTCTCCTCTATCTTCCCATCAGAAAATCTTTCCCCACTGATTCATGCTCAGCCAAAGTTCTACCTTATGTTTATCTGCAGTTGTCTTCTGCTGAGAGCTTGGGAGGCTGGCACACCACTTCCTTCCCGTATTGTGCAATTCCTTTGTTCTGCAAACCACCCTGCAGGCAAGAAATGACACCAAGGATCCACAGGGCAGGTGGATGTTTATCCACTCTCTGTTGTGGTGCTGGGAATGTTTGCAAGTGACAAGGTAAGGACTTTGTCTTCGTGTTCTCATCCTTCTGTCCTGTCTCTGCAAGCCTGACAGACGCTGTCTATAGCCAAGCCCAAGGAATTCCCTGGAGAGGATTATAATACAGTCTGGCAGCAGCTCACGAGTAAGAAACCCCTCTTTCCCCAAATCCTTTGCCCAAACATTCCTTCGGATTATTTTTGTTGTTGTTCCAAATGCTACTTCCTTGGGGCATCCTTGGCAATTCTGGTCCCTCCTGCTAATTGCACATCAGTCATGGCTCTTATTTATCAGACACTTTCATAACACAGCCAAATCTTGGGTGTTTTGTTCCTTCAGTCCTTGTCCATAAAGAAAGCCCTCAGTCTGAACCACTTGATCCTGAAGGTCATTGAGATAAGAGCATTGATCTCCTCGCTGCCACGTCAGCCTTATCCTTGCTGTCTTTTAAAATCCTAAATACCTCAGGCAAACATAATGAACTTTGTGGTTACTGTGAGTGGTTACTGCTGCAAACCTTTACAGCAAAGAACCCCCAACTGCTCTGCCCCAGCAGCAGCAATGACACTCCAACATGAAGCGTTGGCTTCACAGCTCCTTCTGCTGCCAGGGAAGAAAATTCCATCCTGAAAGGGTATTTCATTCTCAATATACCCTCTCTCAGAAGACTCAACCCAAGAGAAGCCCTTGGTAGAAAATCCATTTAGATCCAAATGGTTCTGTGATAGTCATTTTTTTTCCCCTGCAGAAAAAGTGTCATACAATGAAATGCTGATGGTAACTCTGCACAAGTTAAACCCTCACGTATAACCTATGGTCAGCATGAGGACTCTGGTGGACTCCATGAGAAGATGTGTAATGAGACAAGGACTGAGGGGTGAGAAGAGTGCTGCTGGCTTGAAGAACACCACATTTAGAGGGCTGGAGGAGATCTGGGCTCCCCCGTGTACTGCAGCTTCCCAGAGCTGCAGGAGAGAGTGGCACAGCTGTAAAAACACCACCGGGCTAAGAGCAACCCACACTGGGAGTTAGGATGCACTGCTGCCAGATTTCTGCTGGCTTTTGACGTGTGCCACAGGACCTGGGAAGCACGAGAGGCACTGGGGTGTGCTAGGAGCTCTGAGTCATAACTCCCTGCTGCCCCGAGGATCTTTCTGCCTCTCTTATATAATCCAATGTTTGTTTACTCTCATTGCTGTGGAGATAATGCTGCAATAGGCAGGAGCATCTACCCACGGGGAGTGCTGCTCCAGCAAGGTGAGTTCAATGGGTTATGCACAGCATGTGCTGCTCAGGTAGTTCAGACTAGTTCAGTGGGTTATGTGGTTGATGAACAGACAATTGGCATCCTGGGCTGGCTCACACTGACATTCAAGTGAGCCCCTATCCAGTCTCCCCGGATTTTCCCTCCAAAATGACTTTCCAGCAAGTCCTCCAAGCACCCAAGTGCCAGAGAGCTGAATGCTAGAGCATTCAGGGAAGCTATTCCATGGTGAGTTTGTGTCCCATGGGGACCTGGGAATTACACTCGTGTTGACTGGAGGAGGCTACACAATGAACAGAGATGGAGAGAGGCACAAAGTGTCACTTGAGAGCCCATGGAAGGACCCAGGTCATCAAGGTCCTAAAGAATATAAATTTTCAGCATAGAACCATGGAATCACAGAATTTTCTGAGCTGAAAGGAACCCACAAAGGCCACCAACTCCAACTCCTGGCCCTGCACAGGACATCCCAACAATCCTGCCCTGTGTCTGAGAACCTTATCCAAATGCTGGGCTAGATGTGTCCAGGGCACAGATGTCCCTCCTGGCTGCCAGGGCACTGCTGATTCACATTCAGCTGGCCATTGACCAGGACTCCCAGGTCCCCTTCCACAGCTGCTCTCCAGCCTCTCATTCCCCAGTCTGTCTGTGCATCCAGGATTGCCCTGTCCCAGGTGCAGAATCCAGCACTGCCTTTGTTTAACTTCATACAGTCGATGATGGCCCAGGCCTCTCATTTGTCAGGGTCTCTCTGCAGGGTCTCTGCCTCTGAGGGAGGCATCAGCTCCTCTCAGTTTAGAATTGTCTGCAAACTTACTCAGTATTCCCTTGAGCCCTGTGATCAAGTCATTTTTGAAGATGTTGAAGAGCACAGGGCAGAGGATGGAGCCCTGAGGAACCCCACTAGTGACAGGTCACCAGTCTGATGTCACCCCTGTCACTGTCACCCTTTGTGCCCAACCTGTGAGCCAAGTGCTCCCCCACCACAGGATGTGTTTATCCAGCTATGTGCTGGACATTCTGTCCAGAAGGATCCTGTAAGAGACAGTATCAAAAGCTTTAGTGGAACCCAAAGATATTACATCAGCTGGCTTCCTGTGCCAGACTCAAAAAAGCTGTTCATAATCAGATCTATGCCAGCAAATAAAACTACAGGCAGGATAAGACTGGTCAGATGCTCCACCTCTTCACCTTCCTATTTCATTTCTCCTCAGCATCCTATTTCACCAGTTCCATATCATCTGTTAATTCATCCTCCCCAGCAGCTATTACTTGCTGGGATCCTTCTGCAGGAATTTTTCTTTCCTCTTTCATGCTTCTTCCTCCAGTGTTCCCTTTGAGGCTGTGAATAGTGCCCTGAGCATGAACACCACCACCAAGGGTCAGAGCACCCTCCAGCTCTGGTCCCTGAAGGAGCTTTGTTGATGTCCATGCGTGAGTTAGGACATGGATTCACCTCTGCCTGGGTGTGTAACTGTACGACTGCTTTGGAGACAGCAGGAGACAGCAAAGGACAGAGTCCCCCATGGTTACCTTTTGTAGATAGAGGACGGTCCCCTTAAGCACAGCATAAAATTTCTTCCAACCTCTTCTTCCTCTGGGAGCTAAAAAAAGGAAGAATATTTGATTGTATATGTCTGCCAGTGCTGCTTGACTTTCCAGGCAAACCCAACCCTTCTCCTGACCCACCACGGGCACTCACTGATGCCCAGAGCCCCCACACCTCCAGGCTATTGCTCACCAGTGGTTTGTGAGCAGGGACAGGCATTGAGGGACAGTGGCTGGGCTCTGCAGCCTCCCAGCAGCAACACAAGCAGGTCAGAGCCAGACATGAGCTGGTACAGGGCTACCAGCAGACACCTGCAGGAAGTTTCTGCTCCTCCAAACCCAGGTTCACATTCCTTGGACCTAATGCTTGGAGAGCAGAGACATTCCTTGAGCTCCTCTGCTTGGAACTGAGCAGCTGGATTAGGCAGTTTCTGTTCTGCTGAGGAGGGAGCATGACCATCTCAATGGGCTTGGGGACAGAGAGCTTGGCAGAAGCTGGAGAGGGGTGGGAGGTGAGGGCCATCCACATTACCACCACACTGCTGACCCTTCAAGCAAGGGAGACCTTTGGTGGTAATCCCTACTCAAGACTTTAATCAGCTGCAGTGACTGGGACAATCATATCAATTAGCAAAAGGAATTACTCAAGGTTTAATTAATCTCTGCTCATTAACAGTTCCCAAATACCTTTGCATGTGCTGGTAGCAGAGCTATGGGCTGATCTGTTGCCCAGCCAGCACATGGCAGGATATGGACAGGAGCAAAGCTTGGCAGGCTGGGCTGTCCCCTGGGTCAGGGCTGGAGTGGACAGCTGCTGAGGAACCAGCCTTCCCCCACTGCTCAGGAATTGGGGCATGGAAGACCAGGCCTGTCAGGGTTAGATTCCTTGGCAGTGAGAAGGGAACACTGAGGCTTCCTGAAAACACTCCCATCTACCAATGCCCCAAAACACCCTCCTCCTTTTCCTCTGTCCTGGCACTTATGGGGCTCTTTCCTGTGTTGCTGGGATGTGGTGAGGAAATGCCTTCACCAGGAGAGCCAGGGCAAGGCTCTGGGACCACCTGGGCACCTCTCCTGCCCCTGCCCCTGTCCCTGTCCCCTGTCCCTGTCCCTGGTCACGTACTTCTCTTGCCATCCATGTCTGCGTGGGTTTTGCGGGTGAGGACGCCGTGCTTGTAGGTGACCGCGTTCAGCGCCTGGGGGATGTCCAGGAAGGGGTTGCTGCTGTCAACAATCCTTGTCACTTTCTTCGCGCTGGCTCCGAATTTGTCATCTACCAGCTCCGAGAGTGATTTCCTCAACTCATCCTCGTCACTTGGAAACAAAATCAGAGAAGAGATTCAGTGGAGGGGATGTGGGTTTGATGTCCCTCTTTGCTTTGGTTTAGAGTTTTTATTTACAGGGCTGGTCAGAGACAGAAAAAGAAGGAGATGTCAGGACCATAACGGAGAGTGCCAACAGCGGTGGTCTGAGCTGGGAGGAGTGTGAGTGGCATGTAACTGTCCCAGTGGTCCCTCTGTGAGGTCACTCAGAACAGGTAAGGGACTGGGTGCTTGTCTGAACACCAAGAAACTGCAGACATCCCATGCTGAGGACTGCAAATATTTCACAGGAAAAGCCTTCAAATCTGTGCCCTAAAGCCAGAGCTTAAGGAGGATTTTTGCTGAAGACCAAGGTATTACCAGCATTTCTCAGCTGCTGAGAGGCAGTGCCTGAGGCCTCCTAAACAGTGAAGTACCTTTAGGAATGTCCTCTGTATCTTTGAGGAACAGAAACTCTGCAGACATTTGGGAGATGAACCTACCCTGGCACCAAGAAATCAGAACTTGTATGGGAAGTGATAGTCCCCAGTGTCCCTGAGACATGAATGAGAAAGAGCAAACGGAGCTTTTCTGCCCTGTCTGACACATGTCAGTGTCTAAATGGGATGAGTGGTCACCTCAGGTTGCAGATCAGGTTGGGACCAGACCTCAGCTGAGGACTGAGCCTCAGTGAATCCATTGGCTGGGATGTGAGCAGCAAAACACAATTCCTCACCTGCAGCAAGCAGGTGGCCAAAGCATCAGACACCTCTTGGAAGAGGCTCTTAGCCCTCAGCTCCCACAGGAGTCCTGGGGCTCAGGCAGAGCCCAGATACTGTTCCTGGGTGGGGAAATAGTGGGGCTCAGGTGTTTGGGTTGCACCCCCCTGCACTCCTTGCTGCTGGTCACATACCTGCCTGTCTGCTGGGATCTGTGGGCAAGGGCATCTCCTTCCTGGGATGGACAAGGACACAAGGCAGAGGCCAGCAGAGAGAAGAGGGTCAGTGCCAGGCCTCTGACAGAAAACTCCCTGTGCCAGGGAGTCCCTCACCCAGGTCCCCCCATGTCAGGGGGGCATCTGTCCCCCTGCAGAGGAGCTGAGGGCTCTGAGCCTGCAGCCCAGCGGGACACCCTGCAGCAAGGCAGGTCCCAGGCCGGCTGGGATGAGTGAAGGGATGAGGGGATACAGCGGGGAGGGTGAAGAAAGGTGGCAGGGATCTGGACACTGCCGGCTGGAGCCGCCCCGTGGCAGTGGGAACCCGGTAGGGTGACATCCCCAGGATGTGCCAGAGCAGAGTGACATCCCTGGGATGTGCCCGAGCAGGGTGACATCCCCAGGACCCGGCAGGGTGACATCCCCGGGACATGCCTGAGCAGGGTGACATCCCCGGGACCCGGCAGGGTGACATCCCCAGCAGATGAAGCCACCCGCAGCTCCCTCTCCCGACAGAGCTCCGGCCGATGGATGGCCCCGCTGGCACCCCGCGTCACCCAGGGGGGCACGGAGGGAGGATCCACCCCTCTCCTGATGCTTTTTTGGTCAGGGCAATATGAGGATGAGAGCAGGTGATGGGGCTGATGGCACAGAAGGTCCTGATCTGTCCAGAGACAAGAGAGGTCTAGGATTGATGAGAGAGGGGAGAGGGGAGGAGAGGGGAGGAGAGGAGAGGAGAGGAGAGGAGAGGAGAGGAGAGGAGAGGAGAGGAGAGGACAGGACAGGACAGGACAGGACAGGACAGGACAGGACAGGACAGGACAGGACAGGAATGTCCCCTGTGCCAGCTTAAGACCTCAGGTCTGCCACGGGCTTCCCCTGGAGAGACATTGGAGCTGGGGACCTCCTTGATGATCCTGGCTGTGCTCTGAGTGGCAGAGCAGGGGAAGAAGGACTGAGGAAGGTGCTGTGTGACCCTGTGCTGGAGCCCACCCTGCCGGCTGTTTCCAGGCTCGTTTCAGGGTAACACATGATGATCTTATCGAGCTTGTGGATGGCATAAAAAGAGGGGTACAAGGCCACCGCTGGGAGGGCCGGGAGAGCCCGAGTGCTGCGCTGGGTGATGAGCAGGAGGAGCAGGAGTCCCGGCAGGAGCAGAGGGCAGGAGCATCCTGGGCTGTGTAACAGCGGCACAGTGAGGAGGAGAGGAGAAGTGATGGTTGCTCTGCACTGCCTGCATCCCATCGTGATACAGCAAACAGCGCCGGGCCCCCAGCCCAGCAAAGGGCATCAGCGAGGGGCGAGACTGCAGCTGAGGCCAAGAAAACTGGGGCTGGAGCGCTTAAAACGTAAGAAACAGCTGAGACAATTGTTCACTCTACAGAAGAGATGGCTTTGGGGGACCTCATGGCAGCCTTGTGTGGGGGGGTTATTGAGAGGACAAAGCTGGGCTCTTCGCTGTGGTGCATGGCACAAGGACAACAGACAGTGGGCAGAAGTCAAAACAACAGAGACAAGACAAAATGCCACCCTCATCATGATAAAGTATTGGTTTGTGGATCCAGAGGGGCTGTGGGTTCCCCAGCCTTGCAGGGTTCCAGGATCAAATTGAACAAAGCCCCGAGCACCCTGGTCTGAACCCAGTGATGACCATAATTTGAGGAGGAAGCTGAACTAGACATATCACAAGGTCTCTTCTTTTTTAAGTGATTCTCTGAAACTATTTCCAGAAAAAAAAAAAAAAAAGCACGTGGGAGAGATGGAAAGTCTCAATTACCAAAATAACCCCAGATCTTTGCTTATGCAAAGATTTCTGAAGCACCTGGAGAGGAACCAGCATTTTACAAGTGTAATAGTAAACAAAGAGGGCATTCCCTTCCTTTAGGTCATGGATCCACAGACTGCCACCAACCTTCCCAATTGCCGTTGTGTCTAAGCCATAAATAAACTCCATTTCTCTGTCTGCACAGGGACTTCAGCACTTAAGGGCTTGGCAGGAAATATTCTGGGGTTGAAAACATGACTTAGGACCTGGAATCTACTTGGAAAGAGACACAATCCCTTTAATGCTCAGCATATACTTACATGGCCCACTCCAGCTTCTCATTCTTGATGGAGTTATAGAGTGTCTGAAAAAAGAACATGTAATTAGCTGTGTCTGCTTGTGGAGACATTTCCTCCTCCACACCCTGTGCTCTTGGAGATGCCTTCCCTGCTGAACTGTCCTGAAGAAGCATTTCCCAGTGAGCAGGATGGCTGCTGTCCTGCTGGACCCCTGCCCTCTGTGTGCCACGCTGGGCATTGGGCTGGACACAGCAGCAGCACAGGGCTCTGGCAGCCAGCCCTGCTCAGGAGCCTGAATATGGTTTTGACTCATTCTGGGTGCTGTACCTAGCTCTGAGCGAATCCTGGCCTACACACAGTGGTAGAAGACTCTGGGATATGCCATGACACCTTCAAAGTCTTAATTAGGTGAAATGACAGGGGGGGTCTTGAACTGGGTAGCAGGGGAGGGATGAATGACCTTGGAATCAGCTTTTCCAGTTCCTTCTGTGCAAAATTCTGGCTTCCCTGGGCCACTGGAAAAGAAGCAGGAATGGGCTAGCAGAGCAGAATGTGGAGGTCATGCTGACCATACAGAAGGGTAGGATAGGGTGAGGTCTGCTGGGAGATGGAGATGTCACCCCAAACATGATGTGACACCCCTGATGTGGCACCTCTCATTCAACCTCCTTCCACACAGTGAAATTCAGGTCAGGCTGTTGGGCCTGCAGCAGGTGCAGAGAGCAGTGGTGCTGCTAAACCATGTGGCAGGAGAAAATACTCCCTTTGGGGCATTTAACCAGATCCCATGGTACTGCACTGGTTGTGTTGGAATATTGCATTTCATCACGTGGTAGTGGAGGCAAAGAAAAGTTTTGGTGCTGGATGGTTGTGTTTTGGGGTGGGGAGTACCTTGCTTTGGGCATTATCTGAAATGTTGGGGGAAAAGGGCCCCTGGTAGGCTCTGAGGGCAGGTATGCCATAAATCTGGATAAAACACCACCAGGGAACAAACCTATTTTGGCTCACTGCAAGTTAGCAGAGACATTCCTGGGGGTTACAATTCTTCTCCTGAAACAACTGAAAAATGCTGACTGAAGGGCTCAGGGTGTCCCAGCAGGACTAGGTGGCACTGCAATAGTAATGACAGTGTCCCACTGTCTATTTATATCACATTACCTTCAGCAAATCCTTGGCAAAGTCCTTCCCATCGTTCAGCCCATCCAGGTTTGCTATGAACTGTTGGCACGACATCTTTTTGCCAATGTTCTGTAAGGCAAAGAAGCAGCTCATTAAACTTGTGGAGAGTTTTGACTTTATCAGTGTCTTTCAAAGAACAGTTTTATATCTAGTGCTGAAGCCTGGGCTTGTCCCAAGAGCTCAAAGGGCTTCTGATCTAATTTGCTGTTGGGCTCTCTGCTTTATTTGCTCATGCCAACACCCAAATGTTTCAAATGGCCTCTTTTTTAATGGTGGAAATCAGATATCTCAAAATAGCCTCTCCAGCTCTTGCTGGAGTGGTCCTGGGTGCAGGCTCTGTGTCTCCAAACTCAAGACAAGCACTCCACCTGGTGAAATGACAATGTTTGGATGGGGCTCCAAGCCCACTGTGAGAGAAATTGTGTGAGCTTGCAGTGCCAGCACCTGGACCAGGCAGCATTGGGCAGGGGAATGCTGGTCCTTGATGGAAGCTCTTATTTTTGATTGCCATTGCAAAAAGAAATGGTCCAGCTACTGGTACTGTGGAGAGGGCAACACATGTACACTGGGAGAATCTCACAGCCTGGAACACACTCAGCACCAGCTAATGCCAGCAATATTTGGTCCTGATGCTTCCAGGCCACCTGGCATCCCTGATATCATGGCTTCATCATCATCTGTGGCATCCCAAACCCTTTATCCTTCACTTCCTCAGCCTCTTCCCAAGCCTCCCTTGCAATCCTACCTCTCCAAAGGGATGGAACAGAGGTCTGGAGGAGCCAGTGGCCATTATTGGGCTCAGAAAAAGGAGGATGTCACAAAGGAAAGATGGGGGCCTCCAGTGCCATGTTATATTATATCGTTCACACCCTCAGTGTATGGGGCAGGCCCCGGTGGCATCGCTTAAAGGGGGCAGTGGAGCCAGTGAGGACAGCATGAGCTGCCCCTGGTGCTCCTGAGGGTCCCAACAGCATCCTGACACTGCTGGGCTTCACATCAAGGTATGGGCAGGGTGACCAGCAGGAGGATGTGGCAGGATGGCCCAGAACAGCAGTCAGAGCCCTGCTCAGGGCTCAGTGAGGAAGAGGAAGGGCCTGAGTGGGTATGGCAGGGGATGAAGCTGCAGCAGATGATACAGGAGATGCCCTGCAGGGTGAGATGTGTCCTCTGTGCAAGGAAATAACCTCCTGAAAGAGATAACACCAGAAAGCTCTGCCCATAAATGTGCACTGCAGGTGATCTGGGGGCTTCTCCCCAGATGAAAGCATCAGGAAGAAGTGAGGCCTTGGGATCAGCTCACCGTGCCCCCCTGCACCCCCTGCCTTTGCTGTGCAAACCCTCTCGGGCTGCACAGCCAGCCAGGCACTGCTTTGAGCAGCTCTGTCTGATACTCCTAATTATGCCTCCTGCTGGTGCCAGCTCCAGATGAGCTGGCTCCCTTGAGAGATCAAGAAAAAGAGGAGTAAAGCACTGTTACAAATCTGCAGTGCCTGGGGATGTGGTGTGGCACAACAGAGCTCAGCCCTTGTGGCTTTCTCCCGGGGAGCTCCATTAGCCAGAGCTTCCAGCCAGGGTTCAGCGGGTCCACGGGCTGCAGGAGGGCTCGGGAAATGAATGAGCAGACATGCAGGGATTTCAGCACAGAGGGGAGATTCGTGTGCTTGCTGGCCAGCAGTGAATTTTGGACATACAAGATAAAGGAAAAATCCAGCAGCACAAGAGAGCGTGGGTGGAAAAGGGAGGACAAGAAGGAAGGGAGCTGGGAGGTGAGGCAGGTGCTGCCTGGGACTCTGAGACACAGAATTGCTTTGCAGGGAGAAGGTTCCTATTTCCTATTCCCAGCCCTGCCTGAGGCACGGAAGCAGAATGCACAGCACTGGCCTCTGTGCCCAAAGAGTGATTCAGCACTGATGCAGAGTCCAAGGCATTTTTGGAAGTGAGTGGACAGTGAGAGAACAGAAACACCAGGCTCACAGGCCCTTTTTGGGGTTCCTCATGTGTGTGTCTGAGGCTCATGTTCTTCCCAAGGGATGCTTTCCTTTTTTTTTGTGTGTGATCTTTCTCTATTGCAAGAGACCTCTGAGCTCACCCGGGGCAGCAGCCACACTGTGGAAAAGCAGCTAATTGCTGACTAATTGATTTGGTCCTGGATGTGTTCTAGGCTGCAGGAACAAAATCATGCCCCTGCTAGGAACCAACCTGCAAATCCTGGGCCACACAAAGCTGCTGTGGGCAGCCTGGTGTCACTGTGCAGGTGCTGCCAGGGGCTGCTCAGACCTCCCCAGCCCTCCCAGTGCTGCTGCTGACACTGAGCCCTGAGCTCAGCTTCAGGACACCACCACAGGGTTTGTAAGGTTAATAGTGATGGAGAAACGAGTTAGGTCCTGCCCGGGATCCCATCTCAGGCTTTGTTTGGTGCTCTGCTTTTTGAACAAATCCCATTGTTGCTCCAGAAGGTGGCCTTTCCTGAAGGACAAAAATGCACCCATGAGTGCTGGTGATGCAAAGGTGTTGATTTGTCACTGTCCTCCCATGGCCAGGAGGGCAACAGTGACAGTGGGAAAGGACACATCCCTAAGCTTTGTCTCCCTGGGGCACAGAGGGAGCAGGGCAGTGCTTTCTTTGCCATAAGATCTCCTGGAGCTCAAACAGCACCAGCAGAGCAAGGCAGACATTTGCAACAACTTGGATTATCCTACCTGTATAGTCTTGATGCCTTAGGATTTAGCTTTTCTATTTTCAGATCCTGCACTGCTTTAGTGTACAACTCTAAAACTGCATGGCCTGTCAGCTGCTGTTCTCCCATTTTATTGAGATAAAACAATTCCTCTCTAGGCCTGGAACTCAAGGACACCTGATTGTCTCAGGCCCCAGGAGATGTAAACAAGAGTGAATTGGGGGGGATAACTTGCAGTAAATTACTTCATTACTTCTGACCATTGTCCATCCTGGGTGTAGCCCCTCCCCAGAGGCTTTTGACTGCCCAAGGTGTACCTATTGAAGGCCACCAATAAATAACTGGTTTTATTCTCTTAAATTTGTCTAACCTCTGTTCTAGGTAGCCACTCCAAGGCATCAGTCTTGGAATGCTTGTTGTGCTTGGAATGTTGTTGGTGATTGCTGGCTTTTAACACCAACTCCAGGTGCTTCCATGGATAGGGAATGTATAATTTTGAAGTTTTCTGGGTGGTTTGGAAACGGGGTCTGAGTGCACCTGAGTAGAAAATCAACAGTGCTAAGGCCAGGTGTAAATCTCCTGCTCCAAAAGCTCTGTGTCAGGTCTGCTGGAATGGTGACCTAGACCATGCCAGGACACTGCTGTGAGCAGCTGCCCCTTTACAGACACACATCCACCCCCCTCTCCTCACCAAGGGCATTTCCCCCTCCAGGAATGCACAATAAAACACTGCAACACACACACACAACATTTAAAAGGAAAATAAAATCAGAGGTGGCATGGAGTATCATGGCAGCATCTCTAACAAGGAGGGGTGGGAGATCAAGTCACACATTCCCAGGTACACCACAGTTCATGGGGGTTTCTTTACACCAAGAGCATTTCATGTGATGATATCAGCTGCTAATGGCTTGCTAAGTAGGGAAGAACACTGCACAATCATTTAGGATTTCAGACAAACAAAATTCCTTACTGTTTTTAACACAATCAAAACAAGTCAAATGCCAGTGCTTTAAAGCAAAACACTAGAAGGACTGCACTTACCACCTGGTAAAGGGTTAAAGAGCAGAAAGAGAGGTTCCAGGAGCAGAAGGAAATTAAAAAAAAATATATTAAAAAAAAAGGAGGAAAAGGAGAAGAAGAAATTAATGTTACACATGCAGAAAAATAAAGAGAAGATTTTTCAAAGAAAAGCTCAGGCATTTGCACACCTAGTCAAAAGAAAGCTATTTTTTCTGTGCCTAGATATCATGAGAACATTTCTTCTTACCAGGCCTCTGAGCCAGCTTGTCAATGAAGAATAGAAATTGTAAGGTTTTGGAGGTTTAGGCTGGTTTTTTGTCTCTTCAATTATGTCTATCTTCCCAGAGTCATATTTTGGATTTTATATTTTTTACTTAAAAAAACTAGACAAAATAAGATTATTTTGGATTGCAGTCCCATAGTTTGCTTTTTGCCACAATGCTGCTTTTGCTACTGCAGGGAATGATTTGATGGAAATAATTCCTTGGCTCCAACCATTTTGGCTGGAGGATGAATGCTCTATGAGACTGATCCCACCACTATCCTGCTGTGTGCAAAGACAGGTCACTGGGAGCCTCCTAAAGTTGCTGAGGGATCTTCTCACAGCTTCTGTCATTTTCCAACCACTTTTCTGGGCACTGAGCTCTGCTCACTCTGTTCTTTTTTTTCTGTGAAAGTCTCCAGTGGCTGCCTGTTACATCCTGGGCAAAAGGAACAGCTGGAACTCACTTCATGTTTTGGGTAGGAAAGATCAAATCTACATCTGTGTAAACCCACTGGCCCCCTTGCAGCAGTTTTTGGGGAGAGGTGTCTGCACCACAGGAAGGAGCAGCCCACAGGGACTGGCAGGGGAGACCTCACTGAGAGCTCCTGGGACAGGGCTGAGCTGGGCAGCAGGAGAGGAAGCAGCACTGCCTGGCCCTGGCAGGATCCCTGATGTCAGCAGGACAGGCGCCTTTGGAGTGAGAGCAGTGACACTCAGGTGTGGACTGTCCCCAGGCACCCAAAATTCCACCTGGAGCAGGTCAGAGAACTCTCTGCCAACCCATCTCAGTTGTCCAGCAACACACTCAGCACCAGGGAACAGAGCCCTGCCCTGGGAAGGAATAAAGGATGGATGCTCCTCCAGGGGCTACTTACATGGCCATGGAGGTCTGTGTTCAGCAGCATCAGGGCACAGGTGAGTGTATGAATCCCATCTGAAACACACAACAGTCACACAGCTGTGGCTGCTTACTCCCCTTCTCATGCAGTTCTGATGTTTGCTGTCTTGGCAGCCCAGCCACTGCTAAACCAAGGCCAGTTGCTGTGTCTGGGAACCTTAGAAAATATCTGCTCCCTTCAGCTGTGTAGGCTTTAACAAAAAAAAAAAAAAAACCAAAACAAACAACACAAAAAGCCCCAAAGACATCCTCTTTCCCCTCAGACTTCACCTTTTCCTGAAACAACCACCATAAAATTGCCTTCAAAGCAGTTTTCCTTTCAAAGACCAAACTTCCCGCTTCTAAACCCAAAGCAGCTGCTTGTGAAAGCAATATTCCAGTCCCTGCCTCCTTCCTGGTGCTCTCTAGCCCTTTTGTGAGGTCCTTCAAGGACCAGTCCATGTGCCAGGATGTGCATGTCAATGCTGTGAGCTGGCACATGGAGACTGGTCTGGCTATTTTGGGGAGGGTCTGTCAGCACCCAGCATCCCCAGGGACAATGCCCAGGGCAGGATCCCTGGGCATGGGAGAAGCTGCAGCCCTCTCTGCAGCCCTGGCACAGAGCTGCAGGGCACCTGGGCACAGAGCAGGCATGGCCAGGAGGCATGTCAGGATCTGAGGTATTGATGATCCCAAGATTGTAGAAAGTCTCTGTGTTTCAGCCCCGCTGCCAAAGCAGAAGCCATAATTGGTCTGTGCTGGTTTCAAGGTTGTTTATTCTGTTTATCTCTAACATGTTCTGCTGCCCTGCTGCAGCTCTGTCCTGCAGGGCAGCGGGTGGGGCTCTGCCCTCAGTGGGATGTTACAAACATTAAATACCAGAAACTACCTGTGCTGGATTTACAATAACGTGCCAATATCTGTCACCTACGTTGGACAGTGTGTCCCCAGCCTGAACCAACAGAAAAATGCCAACACCACAGTGAAACATGGAGGGCATGAAGAAGGAGAAAAAGGACAAGATAGACCCAATTCCCTCCATCTTGTCCCCTCTGAACCCCTAATCTAAAATCCTAAAATTTTACTTTTGCACCCGTGCCACACTTAATTATTACTTATATCAAAGACTCAGAGCTTGTAATTCATCCTGTAAGACTGAAAACTCTTTTCCATGGACAGAGATCACAGACAGTGTCTCTGGGGGCTCTGTCCAGGGGGGTTCCTGACCCCTGCCAGGGTCCCAGACCTTCCAGGGCAGCCAGAGGGAAGCCCTGGATTCCCAAGAGGCAGAGGAGGGAAGCAGTACCTTCGGAGGTGCTCTCCTCGGGGTTGCAGTGGCAGTAGCGCCGGGAGAAGTGGATCAGCACCCGCTCCCGCTCCTGCGTCTCTCCCATCAGCGGGAACGCTTTCAAGAACGTCCTGCACAGAGAAAAGGAGGCTTAGAGATGTCCTGCTGGGCAGTGTCCTGCCTAAGGAGCCAGATGGAAAGGGTCATTTATCCTCCCCCCAGCCCCACAGCCTGCAGAGGGACCCATGGAGCTGTGCAGGGGAATGTGCTGCCAGCTGTGATGGCACCAGGATGGGTTGTCCATCCCAAGGAAAAGAATTACTCCCACTTGCTCTGATTCTGTATGGGATGGGATTCCTGGGAGGGCTGCTCTCCACCCTGGGGAAGCAGGCTGTGGGCCCTCCTGTTGAAGCCCACTTTTGGAGGCAGAACCTTGCACCAAATGTGACACCAAAGATTGAGTGACAGCCTGGATCTCCCCCCAGCCTCTACTTCTCTCACATGGATGCTGGGAAGCCTGGAGGAAACCCCAAAATCCCACCACTCTCTCCATCCCAGAGCTCACCTGAGTGCTTTGTCAAGGGTCAGGCCAGTGAAGTCAAAGAAGCTGAGATACTCCTCTGCTACCAGCTTGCTAAATTCATTACTGTAATTAAAGAGGGAGTGGTCAGCCCCTTTGTCAGGGAAGAAGACACTGTCCACAAGAACAGCAGAATGCTGCCTCTGGGCCAGCCCAGTTCCAGCCAGATACTGCAGACATGATCTCAGACACAGGGAGAATTGCTCCTGGCCTGGAGTGCGGCTGGAAAACCTCCCTGATGCATCCACAGCCAGCCCCAGACACCCGAGGATGAGAGACCTGCTGCACCCCTGTGTTGTGCTGCTGGCCAGCAGAGCCTCCTCCCAGAGCAGCCAGGAGGAGCCATAGGGGTATCCTGTGCTCCTCCAACACCTGGCTCTCTCCCAGTGCCGGGTGTGTCCCCTCCTCCCACTCCAATGTCCCTGCTCTCACCCCAGGGGCTCCCATGCCCCTCTCAGCAGAGCCCCTTGCTCCTGTGGCAGATGGGTGCTGCTGGAGACTGGAGCAGGAGAGCTCCACGAGCTCCAGGCAGGGGCTGCTGGCTCTGCCAGGGGAACTGGACAGTGTCACAAGTCATCAGAAGGCAGACAGACCCCTGCAAACAACATTCCTACATTTCCAGGGACCCAGTGACATAGATGGTAACTGGCTCCCTGAGCCCCAGAGCCAGTTACCGTGCCCCAGGCCATGGGATAACAACAGGGGCCAGGGCAAGACCCTGTCCCACCCTAAAATGGGCTTTTGTGTTTGTTCTGGTTTCCTCACCCAGGAATTACCCTCCTCTGTCTCTGTGCCAGTGCCAGCCCTTCCTGCAGGAATGGGTGACACTTCCACCATGACGACAGAGACATTCCTACAAGGAGAACAAGGCATTTCCCATGGGGACATTCCTGCCATGCTCTGCCTGGTGGCCCTGCAAGGCATTTCCTGTGGGGACATGCTTGGCACCCTCTGGCTGCTGCCCTTTCAGCCTCTACAGACCTCCTCTCACCTTACAGCCCAGTCTGATGCTCTGTCCCTCTGCCTGCTTTGGCACCAGGAGTTCTCACAAACCACCCAGGGGGACCCAGCAGCCCTGGCCTTTTCTCCAGGCCATTCCCATGGACTGGACATGGAAAGATCTGTGATGTTTCACAGCCTGAATCCCACCGCCCTGCTCCTTTTTGCATTGCCTGGGTCACTTCAGTTCCATAAGAACTTGCGTGAGTAAAATCTCCTCTCTGGTGGGTCAAACAGGCCTTGTGCCCTCCTCGTGCTGCCCTGACTGAGCCCACATCCCTGGGCACTGCAGGGCTGGAGCTGTCCTGGGCTGCTGCCACAGGGATTTGGTGAGCACAATTCTGGGAAACCCCACAAGGAAGTGCCTGGCACTGCCACCTTCACAGCCTGGGACAGTTCAACCTCCACACAGCACAAAATGTGACTGTGGGCACTGGTGGAGCTGAGAGGGCCACAGACCAATGCTGGAACAAGAGTCTTCCATGGAGAGTTCAGCTGCTCAAACATCTGCCAATGGTAATTTCAGGGTTTAAGGTTAATTTCAGAACTGAGGCAGATGGGAACAAACTGTGGGGAGATATCCAATCTGCATTTCCTTGTTTGTCAAGCCTTTTCTGCTTTTCTGCCTGCTTGACAATGATGAATAGTTTTGGCTTTGGTTTACTTTCTTTTTTTTTTTGAAAATTGCCAATTATCACAAAGAAAAAAGAAGTGATAAAATGAGATTTCACTTTTTGTACAGCCCTCCTACATAGAGCTGGTCTGAAAGCATCACTTAAACTTAGTCTGTTCCCAGCACTATAGGTTGGTATTACACTGTCTTAAGTGAGCAAAACTGACTTAATACCTGTATTAATACCTATAAATACCTATTTTCACCCTATTTCCTTTTCTGCTCTGCCAATCCACCTGCACGATCCAAGAGTCTGCAGCTCTATTTAGGTCTCATGTCAGGAAATGGTTCAGATGTCAAAACCCAGCTGATCAAAACAAAACTTGTATTTCACAGGCAGTGTGAATTCCCAGATGTGGGTCACCAAACAGCCTCCCGAGGCGTGAGGGCTGCAGGTGTGAGTGAGGCCTGCAGGAAACAGCAAAGGGACAGACTCACAAACCCAGTGCTTGAAAGTTCACCCCTCAGTGAGCTGTCATGGCAAATTTGGAAGAAAGGAGAAGGATGTTACACACCTGAGGCAAGAGCAACCAGCAATGCACCTGCTACAAGAACTCAGCAAGGGAGGAGAATCTTTGCCAGGTGATGCAAAGAGCCTCTCTAGGAGACAATTCCTGGGCTCCTTCTGTCCCAGCACTGAGCTGGGAGTGCCAGACAAGCCTTGGTACTGGAAGTGTGGCTGGGTATTTGTATTTGCTGAGGGACAGGTGTGTTCGTGTGTTCTGCTGATCTGGGCCAGGGGGGAGACATTGCAAGGACAAAAAAAAAAAAAAAAAAATCCCAGCAACCCAGGTTATATCTGATCCAGGCAAAGGATGATGGGGATTGGTGCCTTCACACCCACTGGCATCCTAAAATAATCTGTTACTGCTACACTTGTTACTGTTACTCTGTCTCTTAGAAATCTCTGTAACTCTCCCACTTTTGAATATTTTTTGATTTCCCTTCTGCCTTACCCAGGCAAATGTACCAGCTGAAGAGCCTGGACCTCCCTGTGTGTCCCTGGCTCTCCTGCCAACCCTTCCTACCCTCGTTCAGACTGGGTTGGGAGGCTCTGCAGCAAGGACATTTCGGGGTGCAGACATGGAAAACCTGGGGAGTGGCAGGGAGCCCAGTGCAGAGGCAAATCTGGCACCCAAACCCTTCATCCTGGGACTGCTTTAGCCTTGCTGGGCTCTTCCCAAAGGCAGGAAGCTCTTGGTTCTGGTGGGCAGCAGCTTGTGACATTTACTGCCCAATCCTGCAAGTGTTTTCAGGACATTGGGCTCCCAGCTTCCACTGGAAAGATCTCCAGCAGCCCCAACTCCATCCAGCACACAAGCTTGGCCCTTCCTGCCCTTTCCTGCCCTCCCAGCATGACCAGTGCTGCCCAGCCCCGTGTCTCTGTCAGCCCCTCGCAGGGCTGATCCCACGTACTTCTTGCCGAGCTGTCGGGCCACGTCGCAGCGCTTGAAGCCCTCCAGGTTGTAGAGGCGCTTGGCCAACCTCTTGGCAGCCTCGCTGTCCGCCCTGCAGCCGTTGGCCAGCGTGTCCGTGCTGCCCTGGTCCAGCTGCTCCGTGCTGCCCATGTCCGAGTCCGAGTCCGACAGGGTGTCCTTCAGGCTGGCGTCGCTGTGCAGAGACAAGAAATGTTCAAGGAGCCACAGCCTGACTCCATGAAACCCACAGAAAACACCACGTTTTGATTTCTTCTTGCCCTCACAAAACAACTGCGAGAAACCAGCAATGTGGCTGTGAACTGGACATTGGACAAGCCCTCCTTCATTTCAGCTCGAATGAAATAGTGCAGTGTAATTCCAAAATGGTAGAAAAGGTCAGAGAGAGGGTGGCTTCCCCCTGAGAAGTGAGGATGTATCAAAGTAAGCAGTCTCAACACCTTTTAAACTTCCTCTCTCTCCACTGGGGATCCCCAGCTCTTCCCACCATGGACATCATGGAAATCTTAGGGATAGATGCTATGCTTTTCAGTTCAGGTTATTTGCTGAGGATGAGAAGCTGCACTTGTACAAATCATGTCAATGAGGCTGGCACCAGACCAGCTTTTACTGGTGACTTGCTGCCCTGCAGTTGCCTGGTGGCCTCGTGGCCAACTGTGCCCACAGACAATGCTCTGAGCAGCCCTGCTGGCACCATGTAGGTGTCTGTATGCCCTTTATCTGCCTGCCCAAGGCCTCTTACAGCACCAAATCATGCATTTTTGAGCAGTGTGACTCACTGCTGGCCTGAGAGCTGGACATGCAACCTCACTCCAGCTCTCCCCTGACCTGGTTGCTCATCACTGGCTTCCTCATGCAGGGAAGTGCCCTACGGATGAGCTGCTGCCTCCCAGGGGTGATGGTTTGGGTCTGAGCTGGTCCAGAGGATGAAGTCTCTGCTGATCTCCTTGTTGCCTGCAGAAAAACCTTTGGGGAGGCTTCTGTAGGGGTACCCTGTCCTAAGAGAAACTTTGAGGTTTCCCTGCACTTCAGAAGCATTTGGGAGGGCACCTGACCATCCCCAACCTGCCAAGGGCTGTGCAGGTGAAAGTTTTCCTGCAGGTGTTTGGCCTTTCTGCCACAACAGCACATGAGAGGAAGCACAAGGGGTGAAAGAGCAGTTCCAACTCAATCATGCCCACTGAGCCTTGCTCCTGGACTGGGATCCCATAAGAAAAGCAGCCACCGTCCAAAAAACTCCCTGCCTTACCTGATGGAGTTAATGATCTTGGTGGCATCTTCCTCTGAGCCTTCCACGTGGAACCCATTTGGGATACTCTTCAAGGACAGCCGGCTGAGCACATTCTCCGACCTGCTGCTGGTAATTGAGTGTCTGAGAGGACTCCCAAAATCCCCCTCCGCTGCCTTGGCTGCCGCCTGCTCCTGCTTGTCAGCAGCCATGTGGTGAAGGGTTTCTCTCTGCTGGGCTGCCAGTTTCTGCTCCAGGAGCTCAGGGCTCTCCTTGGCCCTTTGCTGGATCAGTGGGGTGAGGGGTGCCTCAAAACTGACACAGCTGTCTGTCTCGTCTGTGAGGGAGAGCATGTCCAAAGAGTCCAGGCTGCTGTAGTAGGTGCCCTTCATAAGGTCAGACTCAACAATCTTCTCAAAGGTCGAGCTGAAGCCATCCCTGATGTCTTTGAATTGGAAATGCTCCCTGTCATTATCACTGCAGCTCAGCTTGACATCTCCAGAAGCAAACCTGGACCAAAAGGAGAAATGTAGAAAATATTGTTAAGGCAATTCTTGCCAGGTTCCATTTGGAGTTGGGAGGCAAGAGAAGAGGCAGGAATGGCTGCTGTAATAATGGCCCTTGGGATCTTTCTGTGGTATAACCTGCCTGATTCCCAATTTTGTTACAAGATTCCAGAGTTGAAAAAAACAGTTTTGTGATGAGCAATCCCAGAGGCCCAGCCAGCCCTTAATTTGGTCATGTTCCAGAAAAAAGCCAGACCTCTGAACTGGAAAATTTTGTATATGACACCTGCTACTGGATCCAGTGCCAGAATAACCTCCTGGTTATCACTTAGCAGGCCCCACATTGCCATAATCCCAAGGAAGACAGCACTGATCTTTCAACACACTCTACAGAATCACTTCTATTAACTACTCATGCCACAGACCTTGTATATTCCAGCCCTATACTTGTCCCCTGATGACCCTACATCACCCCCATGTCCCTCTTTTGGACACTCCCTAACAGCTTTAGATCTTTCTCATCTTGTGGTGAAAGGACATGATGGAAACCAGGACTTTCTTGCCTCTGCACTGCAGTCTTTCTGCAAAGTTTTTCTGAAACTTTATTTGATGGAATGTGAATTTTTTGACAGCTATATGTTGCCATAGGAGGAAATGTGTGGGCAAAAGCCGCAGTCCCAAAACTGCAGGTGCTGAGTGTGTCTACAAGCAAAAGGTGGGGAGTTCTCTGTTAAAAATTTTGGGTTTTTTCCATGAGTTCATGGGGCTGAAAGTAGAGAGCATCATTCCCTGCTGGATCTTGCAGTTGGACTTCAGAGCTGTGACCTCCCTGAGATCAGCAGACCAATGCTGGGGGTTTCTGAGAAGGTGAAAGACCTCTAAGGCAACACAGCCACAATGAAATGAAAATGGGGCTTTGATGAACAACAGGAGAAATGGGATAAACCAGAAAGGGGGGAAAGGGATGCAGTTAATGCGAACTGCAACACAAACACTCAATCTTTGGCTCTATTTCCCTGATTTTTTTTGACCAATCATTTCCTGCATAGATGCAGGAACTAACCTACCTTCAGGAGGACAATCATGGGTTCTTCTCCAGCTCTACCAGGGAATGATGACCTTGGATGACTTCCCCTTTTAATTCTCCATTCCACTGGGAAGAGCAAGACTCAACACCTTCTTGTAAAGTACTTTAAAATTCAGGGATAAAATGCATCATACAAGCAGCAACGTGCAGGTGATGACAAATGATTTCTCATCAGGAACAAATAGTTGACTGCTCATTAGTAAAACATTGGACCAGGTTCTCCTATACCCAGAATGGGTCATTACAACAATTCCCCAAAGGGGAGTAGAGAAAAAAATGGGGAAACTCGGAGGTGATGCAGGATGACAGCAACTTCCTGGTGTCTTGGTCCATCTGTCAGTTCTTCCTGACCCACACTGACCCAGCAGAGTGGACAGTCCATGTGGTCAGGGCACAGCAGCTCCACGCTGTGCTTGGCCCAGCCACACATTCCTGCCATTTACCCTAAAGATAGGTGGTCAAAGCACTGATGAGCTCCAATGCAGTCAGCTAACCTGATCTGCAGGCCCTAAGTGGTTTCCCAGACTTCAGCTGCATCCCAGAAGTTTTCCAGCTGCCCTCTGCTTTGAATATAGCATGTGACTTGTCCCTTGTGCATTCAGCCTCCCAGAAGACTCATTTGCTATCCAAGTGAATGTGTTTAGAGCAAGAGATCATGGACTCTGCATGCAGACCCATGTCAGGTTACATCATCTCCAAATCCTCAGCCTGACACTTCTACCAAATCATGCCCTAGTACCTTAAAATAATTGCACTTGCAGTGATTGCAGCAGCATTCTCTGGCCACCCTTAGTTTCCTCTTGAACTCACAGCCTCTGCCAGGGAGCCACCTACCAAGCAAATATGATTCCCCTGAAACCTGAGAGACTTGCAGCTATCCAAGACTTGCCTGCATAGCTCACGGGGCTCCTGGGACCTGCCTGGGGACAGGCTCCCCGAGCTCCCCAAGCAGCAGCAGCCTGCCCTGGACACTTCCTCTGCAACACCTTCAGCTGTGCTTTTTGAAGCAGTGCTGCTGCTTCTGGCTGGGGTTATTGAGTGAAACAAACCACCAGCCTTTTATAGAGCAGCCTGTTGAACAGCAGAGAAACAAAGCAGGAGGGATGCCTGCTGTCAGCCCATTCCCCAGCTCTGCTGCCCACGCTCCAGACAGCGCTTGGAACGTGCAGCTCAGCACGGAGCCTGCACGGGACTAGAGCTAGGAGGTGATCCCCAGGCCACCTTGGCCACCCTGTCCCTTCACAGCTCCTCTTCAGAAGGCCACACTCCTCTGGGACAACCCCTGCTGCTCTTCCTCGGCCCGTCCTGCTTGCACCCTGGGGTGGGTGCACAGGCAGGGCTGTAAAATTCACAGCAGGCATCAACCCCAGGTGGCTACAACACAGAGCCCCTGGCTGATTTCTGGTGGCAAAGGGAAGCATCCATATCCCTCCTGCAGGAATGGCACGGGAAGAACCTCTCCTCATCCCAGTGACCTGTCATTCCCCCTAAGCCCCCAGCCTGCAGAATCCCATGGAGGTCTAGAAACCTGCAGAGGCATAAAATCAGCTGTGGACAGCACACCAGTGTGAGTGTCCCCCAGCCTGGAGAGTTCTCCTGTGAGCCAGACTGCCAGAAGAGAGGACTCAGGGACTGAGGGACATTGCACACATTCAGGTTTGTCACAGGCACTTGAGAATTGGATGGCACTTGTACCTTTTGTCTCACACTGCTGTTCCTGTCACCCAGGTGCTGGTAACACCTGCCACAGGTGCAGTGCAGAGCAGAGATCAGTGCTGTGCCTGCTTTCAGATACACAGCTGCCACCTGCTAGCCCAGGGGCTGCCAGGGCACACCAGCCTCCAGACAAGCCTGGCTCTCCAGCATCCCCAGGCTGTACAGGTACAGATTTACCTGGGGTAACTTGCCCTAAGTTACCCCGGGTAACTCTGCCGTAAGTGCTGCAATTGAATGTCCAGCTTGCAAGTGGGACACCCCCAAAGCGAGCACAACCAGCTCCTCTCGCGATCCCAAAAGCTTCCCCTTCACTTCAGTGGCTCTGTGAGTAGACATTGGCTCTAATCACAGCTTTCTGCATTTGTAACAGGAAAAAACTGTGTGAGAAGTCCAGAGAGAGAAAAAAGAGTAAAAAGTTACACACAGGGAAAGAATGTGCGAGAAGCCCGAAGAGAAACAGGAGTGGAAAGCCACAGTCAGCCATGAGAGCAGCTGCAGCTCCTTAAACTGATGAGTTACACACGGAGCAGAGTAACTGGAACCAAGAAGCCTCAAAAAACAACACACACAAAGCAGGACTGAGCCGACCTTCCGGCGGCTTCGCACTCACCCGAACTGCTCCTCTGCCTCGTCAGCGCTCAGAGCTTCCGAGGAGCCCAGGACGCTGTGCCAGCGCTGCTTGCTGAGGGCCCCGCTGGCTGGCTGCGGGCTGGGGGAGCCCGTGTCCCCCGCCTCGGGGCTGCTCCGGCCGTTCCCGGCTCCGGCTCCGTCCCGGGGCCGCTCCCGCCCCGCGGCCGCCGCCGCGCCCGCCCCGTTGGGCAGCGCTGCCCCGTCCGCACGGCCGCTCTCGCTCAGCCTCTCGCCCGCCTCTGTCACCGCTTCCAGCTGTTCGTCCCGCGGCTCCCCCTCCGCCCGGGAGGGCTGAGCATCGCGCCGGGGGCTGGCTCTGCCGCTGGCAGGCTCCGCGGGCTGGCTCCGCTGCAGCGGCGGGGACGGCTGCGAGCCCGGGCACTGCGGCTCGTTCTCCTCTGCGGCGGAGCGTGGCGAGGGGCCGGGATCGCTCATGTTCCGCTCCGTGTCCCAGCGCCCACGGGATCCCTCCCCGCGCTCAGCTCGGCCTCGCTGCTACCTGCAAGGGGAATGAAAGCACAGCGTGGGCATCGGGGAGGGATGGAAAGGCAGGGTGAAGCCCCCACCCCACCTCATATCCGCAGGGAAGGACTATTCTGGTGTTTGGTGCGTTTGAAGGCTCAGTGCTCCTTACTCAGGGCAGTGAGATGGGTGAGGAAAAGCTGCTGTTGTGGTGCTGAGCCACTGGGGCCCAGGCACCCCAGGCACCCACCTTTCCTGCTGTTCCAGAGTGCCCCTGAACAGGGGACGTGTCCCACGCAGGCTGTTAGTGCCCAGGGTGGGGACAGCAGCGTGGCATGGCTGCATTTCCCAGACTCGCTGCTGGGATGGTATTCCCTGCCCTCCAGAAAGAGGAGAAATAGGTGAAACAGGCAATAAGTGTGATTTATTCTTCTCTAACCGTTTTAAGCAGCTGTGCTGTGCCAACCTGTGTGATTCTCCCTGCTGAGTTAGCAGCTCTGCAGAGCATCTTGCCTGCCAGAGCACCACTTCTCCTTTCCCAACACACAAGTACTGCTGAAGGGTGTCACAAGCTGCCAGCTAAAACTCTGGCAAAAGTGTCCTGATTGAATATTCCCTGGGATGCTCTCTCTGTAGGGCAAGGGAAGGACACTGTTTTGCACCGATAGAAGAAGTTTTTTGACAAAAATGCACTTAATAGGGAAATAGACCCATTGAGGCGAAGTCTGCAAGGTCTTAGAAGCACCATCCTCAGCCCCACAGTGCTGTGCAAGCTTTACTCCATCATAACCTTCCCACAGCTGCACTCAAGTGCCACCAGAAATGATCTCTTCTGGAAGCAGGAGTAAGCTGCATGGCACCCAGGATGAGCCATTGTAACAGTTGATTTTGGTTTTAAGCAATATGTGTCTTCATAGATATTTTTTAAATACTATCTGTCTTCATAGGTCTGTTAGCCTGGAGGCGAGAAAACTCCAGGGAAACCTTAGAGCCCATTCCAGAACCTAAAGGGACTCCAAGAGAGCTGGAGAGGGACTTTGATAAGGGCATGAAGTGACAGGACAAGGACAAATGGCTTCACACTGACAGAGAGCAGGGCTGCATTAGAGATTAGGAAGAAATTCTTCCCTGTGAGGGTGGTGAGGCCCTGGCACAGGGTGCCTAGAGAAGCTGTGGCTGCCCCTGGATCCCTGGAAGTGTCCAAGGCCAGGCTGGATGGGGCTTGGAGCACCCTGGGACAGTGGAAGGTGTCCCTGCCCATGGCAGGGGGTTGGAGGATAATCTCTGCCATCCCTTCCAACCCAAACCATGTGGTGATGTGACTGTGATTCACCTGCACAGGAATTCTGGCTAATCAGTGCCAGCAGGCAGACAGGACTCTGGGGTTTTCCCCCTAACTTGGTTCCTAATTCACATCTGAAGCAGATAACTCAAATTTCCTGCCTCAAGTTCCCTCTCAGCCATCACCTTTGAGCAGCCAGGAGGGTGTCCTGGTTCAGCAACACACTCTGAGTGCTCTCACTTGCTGAGCTGAAGCTTTCATTAGCAGTAAAATCCCTAATTGCTTAGCCAGGTCAGTTCTTGTTGATAGGGTCTGCAGAACTGCAGCTGCTTCTGCTCTTACAGAGCACCTCTCACCCTGTGGAGATGTCAGCAGCCCCTCCCTGCTGCTCCTTCCTCTGCACCTGAGTAAGGGAGAGGAGGGATTTGGACCCAAACACCCCTGTGTGGCCTGGGTAAGGACAGATCCACAAAGGTACATGCTGAGCTGCTGCTGAGCAGGCCAGATCCCAAGGGGAACCCCAAGTTCTGCCTGACTTTGCTCCCATCCCACAGCCCAGGCAATCCTGGACTTCAGATCTAGCCTGCTCTCCATGTCCTGCTCCCCACAGCTGGGAGGGGAGATGGGCTGGGCAGTTCAGAGCCCTGCATGGCACGGCTTTGGGGTGAAGCACTCCTTCAGGGCTGCACGTGCCACAGTCCTGAGATGGGGCAGGTCCCTCCTGGAGGCAGTGCTGGCAGTTTTAGGCAGTTTTACCTCTTCTGCACGTGCATCCGTGTGCATCCCTCGCTGTCACAGCGCGCGCGGCATCGCCGCTCCTATCGCAGCCGGGCGCTCCTGGTCCCTGCACGGCCCCTGCCTGCAACAAGGGATCAGAGGCAGTGAGAGCCAGCCCAGAGAGGACAGCCCTGCTGGTTTCCTGCCACCCTGCTGCTGCCCCTCACCAAGCTGCTTCCCAGACCCATCCCATGGCTCCTTGGCAGGGCGCTGCAAGTGCTTTTTCCTCAGCACGCTCTGGTTCTCTGGGGTTTTCAGACATGGCAGTGCAAGAGTATTCCTTACACAGGGCTTCTGATATCTTTCATTACAAAGCACCCCCACCCCCTCCACCCAGTCAGCTAAAGTGGAGCAAAGGGACTCTGTGGTTGCAGGTTTGAGGAGAAATTTGTCTGTGTGAGCCCAGAGAATGTCCAATGTCACCCATCAGATCCACAGAGTGAGATACCTGAGTTTTGGATTGATCCCCCCAACAGCCCTTCCTCAGCCCCACCAAACAAGAGCCATGGTAAAGGTCTTTGAGCTAAATGCAAGCAAATCCAAGCTACCAAAGTGATTGATGTAGCAACATTTCTCTTGCAGACTGTTTTGCACAACACAGGGATGGACAGTGATGTGTCCCCCTGAGGTGACCCCAGGCTGGGGGAGCATGTCAGCTCACCACAGATGGTGTGTCCCCTTCAGACAGCAGCCTGAGATCACAGGCCAGGCTTGCATAGAGTTGGTGGAGACAAAAAGACAGGCCAGCAGTGCCTGTGTGCTGCTAGAGGTGATGGGTGGATCAGGGCCCAGATGTGCCACTGCTTTCCAGTGGTCAGAAAGAGCCCCTGGGGCAGCTTGGCAGCAGATGTTGGTGTCAAGTCCCTGCAGAGGATCTGCTCATGCCCTCTCTTGGGGTTGTCCTTGCAGGCCTTCAGCTTCATTCTCCACTAGCCTGACAAGAGGAAGGTTGGCCTAGACTTCGTGGGTCACCAGCACATCAGCCTCCTGTAGCCCACAATCCACCTGCAGGAGCTGAGCTCTCCCAAGGGAGGGCAAAACAAGCCCTTGGGACAGTCCTCAGGTTCACACATGTGGGCCAAGTCTCCTCAGCCTGTTCCTCTGCCATCTCAAATTAAGAGGGAAAAGCTGCAAATCTCTTTCCCACCGAATCCAGGAGAGAAAATCAGTCCCAGGCCCTTGGTGTTCCCATGCACTGACAGCAGGGCCAAGCCAATGCAGCATGTTCCAGGAATTTACTTGCAAAAATACCAACACTCTCCTGAGCATAACCACACTGTGATCTCAAAAAATACTGAAAACCTAACATGGGTCAAATTTTTACTTTCTCAGACTGCAGGTATAATACAGACATGACATGCAACACTGAGCCACTGCTCAAATCTTTGGAGGAATCTTTCCAGTAAAACTTTGCTGGCCTTTTTCTTATATGAGATTAATAATGTCGGGGTTTTGAGTGAAATTTTTTAAAAACAGACAAAAGGGTTTGAGCTGAAATTCTCCACTTCCCTGCCATCCATCCAAAAAACTTCAGTAGGAACCACCCAAGCTGAATTCCAGTCCAATAGTTCAAGCTTGGCACAGCTGTGTGCAACCAGAAAACAGGAAACTAAAAGCAGTTAGGAGATGAGCCTGAGTAAGAAATGTTGGCAAACCTTAATAATTGTGGTGTCCCAGGCATCCCTCCTAACTTTAAGTAAATTACATTATTTATATTAAAAGAAAAAAAACCCCACAAATTTTTACTGCATATAAACTACTACAGTTGTTAAGCATTATACTACTGTTTCACCCTCTGTGAAGTCTCACTGGAATGTTTGTGGTCTGGAAGGAGTGCTGAGGAATCAATAGTTAAAGCTTTAGTCATGTTCCTCCTTGGCCTGTGCTCCTGCTGGAGAAGAGGCACCAGGGAAACCCTGGCAGGATGTGTGCACAGACTGTCGCTGAGCTGGGAAGACCATCAGCTTCAGTGTGACAGCCAGGAGGAGAAATCCAGCCCTCCTGCAGCCTCCTGACCCTTGAGGCTTGTGTGTCTCCCATGGGATCCCTGCTCCACTGCACACACCTGCTTGGGGGCTGCTGTGTGCACCCAAAGTCTGCAGACAAGCTGAGGGTGTAGCAACCCATGACAAACACCCAACAAGTCACCAACTATTTGAATTTTGCTTGCAGTGACAGTCACTTGAAGCACACACAGGTTATGAGTGGCTGAGGCTTCCCAGAATCTCCAGAGGAACTGCCAGATTGGATTGTGACAGTCTGTGGCTCTGAGTGCAGCTCTTCATGGTGATGCCTTGGACTGGAGTCATGCAGCCAACTCCTGCCACCCTACAGCTCATCCGTGACCTGCTGCCTCCCCACCCGTGTGGGGAAGGTGGAAGAGCAAAGGGAGGAGCACACAGGCTGGAAGACAGAGCAAAAGGAGGAGCACACAGGCTGCAAGACAAAGCAAAGGAAGGAGCAGACAAGCTTTTCCACAGCTTGGAAAACCTGGAAGACAAAACACGGTGGAACAGCTGGTTGCAACTGTCCACATCTGCCTCCAGCAGACAGCTGAAAGGTCACCAGCTCTGGACAAAGCCCAAACCCAGACTCTCAACACTGTTCTCTTTGCTCTGCAAAGTACCAAAGTGCAGCTCAGCCTCTAAAGCTGCCACTGCTTCAACCAGGCTGTGGGGAGAGGACACACTGCAGCACTGGGACAAGGGATGGGGGGATGTTCAGAGGTCCCTCTGGGGCTCCTCTGACTGTCCCAAAGCTGTACAGCCTGGCTGCTCAGGCTGCAGGCTGACATTCCCCAAGCCCCTCCTCATTTCATTCTGTGTCTGCTTTGCAAAGTGCTCTCTGAAGCAGGTAAGGGCTGAAAAGTGGGATGTGGGCTTCCATCTGTGGATTTCCACAGGTCTTGCCCTTTCTGCAGGCTCAGGCGCCCTCTCAAGTGACTGCTCTTCCCTAGGTCCTGGGAAGAGAGTGGGCACCCCTTGCATGTCCCATCTTCCCAGCCTCCCACAAATGTAACTGGGGTTAGCACTCAAAACAGGGTCTGTCAGGAAAGGGGGATGGCCTGGCACGTATCACATATCACAGCCAGGAGTGGTCACAGATAATGAACAGATAATGTGGCCCTGCTGAGCTGTTGTTAAGCAGGAGCTTTGTGACTTGGAGCACAGCAGCTCTGTAAGGCCCACATAAGTAGAAGAACAGGGATTCTTGCTAGAAAGAAGACATTATTGCTGTAGGAGAGGCAAGGGAAGCCAAGGCATCCCTGGGCCATGGCTAACCATGGCCTTCCCATCTCCCTTGCAGAAGAGAGACAGGACAGATGCTGCAGGGACTGAGGATCCCATCCATGTGGCCCTGAAGGGACTGAGGATCCCATCCCTGTGGCCCTGCAGGGACTGAGGATCCCATCCCTGTGGCCCTGAAGGGACTGAGGATCCCATCCCTGTGGCCCTGACAGGACTGAGGATCCCATCCATGTGGCCCTGAAGGGACTGAGGATCCTATCCCTGTGGTCCAGAAGGGACTGAGGATCCCATCCCTGTGGCCCTGAAGGCACTGAGGATCCCATCCCTGTGGCCCTGAAGGGACTGAGGATCCTATCCCTGTGGTCCAGAAGGGACTGAGGATCCCCTCCCATGCTGCCCTGGTTTGCAGGCCAGACTCAGCAAGCCGACAGCTATTACCTTCAGTTTTCAGAATTCCACAGCACCAGCTCATCACTGTGAGTTTCCAGTGATGGCAATTCAGGACAGCAACTCACTCCCTGCTCCAGCCCCACTCTGCCCTGGGTCCTGCACAGCCCCTGGACCAGGAGGAGACAGGGCAGGGCTGGTTGGGAGGGAAGGAGAGCAGACATACCCCATCATCTGCTTTGGGATGATGCTGGAATTGCAGCAGGGGCAGCGAAGCCGGGCTGGCATCCACTGTGGGGAAGCACTGGTCCCAAGGAGGCCGGGCAGAGATGCAGCAAAGTTTGCCCTGATTTTGTGAGGGGTTGGAAACCACACAGCAGCTCTTTCAGGGACTGGCTCTGGAAGTGTCCCAGCTTTTGTTGAAGCTGAATGGCTGGTGGGAAATGATTTATTTTTAATTTTCTTTCCTGCGTTAGGAACTGGAAAGGCTCCCACTTCAGTTTTGTGTAACCACTTGGCTGCTGGGACACAGGAAGGCTTGGAGAAGAATCCTGCTGCTTAGTCAAGCATGAGCTTTTCCTCAAGTTCATGCTGAGCTGGGCTGCTTCCTGCAGCAGCCTTCCTTCTCCTTGCTGCTCTGCATCCCGTTCCCTCTGGCTTAGTGAAGACAGAATCGTGGAATGGTTTAGATTGGAAGTGATGTTGAACTTCTTGGGCTAAAATGCCTATAGTGACATCCTTTGCTGTGATGGACCATGTGGTCCGAGCTCCTGTCCCCTGTGAGCAGGAATGGAATGTGCCCAGCAGTCATTTGATGGCCAGGCTGTAGATCCATCCACAGCGTGGCTGCAGGCCAGGGATGGATGTGCTTTTATGACCTGACTTAGCAGTGAATTTATAAAAGGCAGGTGTCACACATTACCCTGCACATGGGCGCGGTCAGGGCTCTTTGAGGAGACAATCCTGTAGAGACATGGAGAGATCACAGCCACGGTTCTTCTTTTTGAAGCACATTTCTTCCGTCTCATGTCTCTGCTTTGACCTCTGCCCTTTCAACATGGCTGAAAATAAAAACCTTCTACCATTCGCATTGTGAAAATCCTCATTTATTTTCCCCATGTGCTTGTTTCTTATATGATTTTGAAGACCTCATTATCATTCTCAGCCTCTCCTCTCCAGATTGTAGACCCTGCCTTCTTAGCCTGTTCTCAGAAGAAGCCCGTTCTCCACCCCTTTGGGTATTTTGCCTACCTTTTTCTGAATTTTCTTTAATTCTTTTACTTCTATCACTCTGTTACAATCTGAACACAGGGAAAGCAGCATTGCATAGTGAACTGAAGATGTGTGCACACCAAAGATTTATGCAGCACCAAACTGTTCTGTACATCACCCCCTGCTCTGTGCAGGAGTCCCTCCCTGATGACACCAAGTTGAAAGTTACCTGCAG